TTCCAACCCAAACCATTCCGTGATTCTGGGCATCCTGTTCCAGTTTCCTCATGGCCTTGCTAACATAGGATACGTGAACACTTGTTTCATCGACAGGTAAGTTTAGCCTTCAGAAAATAAGATGTTTGTCAAAGTGATTGAATAAAACAATCTGGATATTTACTCCCCGCTTCACAGCAGCCCAGGCTGCCCAGGGCCCCATCCAACCTGAACACCTCCAGGGATGGACGGGGCATCACAGCCTCTCTGGGCAGCTGTTCAGCCCCTCACCGCTCTCACAGCACACAACTTCCCCTGACATCCAACCTCCAGCTGCCCTCCCTCAGCTTCAAACCATCCCCCTCGTCCTGCTGCCATCTCCCCTTCCCAACAGCTGACTCCCCTCCTGTCTGCAGGCTCCCTTTAGGTAATGAAAGGAAAATGCTTAAATAAATACTGGCATGTAATTTTTAAGGACGAATGTGGCTGAAGACATAACTTCTCCTACAGCAAATCCTAATAAGTAGCAGAAGCCGTTTCCCTACCAATATAATGGCCACAAAAAAAATAATATTCTTATAAGCCAAACTGTCCTCGTGTTTCTGCTAATTTGGGTCCTGTAGGTAAGGAGGAGCGTCAGAATCAGGCCTCACCATGCAGCAATGCACAGAAATGGCTCTGAGAACCTCAGTTGGAAGCAGCTCTTGTGACTTCGCAGCATTTCATCACCATGGACACACGGTGCTTACAAACACAGCCGCTCAGAGCTCCGTCTGACCGCAAGCAAACGCTGCCCGGCGAGCCAGGAACAGCCAGAAGGGTCTGCATGGAGAGGCTGTGAAGGTCAAGGAAAGGTTGGTGTTTGGGATTTTTTACTGAGATGTTTTGTGTGATACCAACGTCAGCCATTTTCAGTGCAGATTCAGCCGTTTCTCTGACGTTTGTGGGGCTCTGCAGTTTTCTTTCCCATAAAACCACATCACTCAGCCCTGCTGGCTGCCACTCTCACACCCATGCAGCTCTTTGGAAGCTGTTCCCCCAAACGCAACGGCAGGGATTTCAGCACAGATCCTTACGTCTCCCTGCTCGACTCCTCCTACAGCTGCCACGTTCCCAGCTTGGCCCCCTGTCCTGCTGTTACTATGACAAGAGATTTCTAATCAATGTATTGATCCTGTTTGGTTCACCTACCTGCCCAAATTTTGCATGCTTTCTTTAGAAAGGCCCACAGCTGCAGCAGGATGCAGTGAGTTTCATTTACAAATGTTCATGAAAAACGTGAGACTGATCAGACTTCTCTCTGGCTCCGCATCCTTGACTGCATCCTTGTTCCTCTTTGGAATAATTGAGAAATTGGGCACGCAGCATAAAGTCACTCCTTTATTTTCCGATTCTGTCCGTACGAACCTTTAATCTGTCTTCCTTCCTTCAGTATCTGCTGTGGACTTCACTGCCTCGTACTCTGCAGGGAGCTTTTAATACGCAGTGCTGAATGTTCAAAAGCTCTGATAAAACTGCTTAAAAAACTGCTTAAAAAACAGCAAATTCTTTCAGTAGGACTGCGGGCGTAATGCTCACAGCCTGAATGCCATTCAAAAAACCCTATTGCCATTTACTGCTATCTCAGCAATTCCCTCCATCCCTGACAGCACAAAAATGACGCCTAATTACTCAACTAATTACCCGACTCATCACTGCTCCCTATGAAGTACTCCATTTCAATCATTGGATGCATACAGAAGGCAGGTTTTTAAAAGAGGTAGATTACCCCATCATCCTCACTTGGCTATCTCTCCAACCTTACCAAACACGTCTTCTTATTTCTCAGCTCCACGAGTAACTCAGCTACATTTACCAGCGTGAAACTGCACCACACGGACAACAAGAGCAACCGAAACGTTATTTCAGACGTATGCAGCTTCTCTGTCATCACTGAGCCTTGACATTCCCTACTCGTGTTTTGCCCTCTGGAGACAAATCCTGTGCTCTAAAGGTGCGTTTTGCTGTGGCCAGTTTTACCAGCAGCTTGGTTAAGTCCTACCAGTGTTTGCACTTACAAACATGTCCTCACTCTGGGCTCAAAACTGAGACCTTTTCTTTCTGTGAAAACCTGGGTGTCCATCTAAGAATAAGAAGCCCAGAGGTCCTGTGCTCACATTCATGGTACCCTACATATATGGTGCTCACATTCATGGTACCCCACACGTGTGGTGCCCCACATACATGATACCCCACGTCTATGGTGCCCCACACACATGGTGCCCCAGACCCATGGTGCCCATTCCAGAGCTGCCTCTCCCCTCAGCCTGCAGCCCCAGCCTGTCTCATTGGCTAAAGCCACCTCCCCGAGTCTTTTGCATTCCCATTACATTACCCTACCCATTTCAGAGAATCACAAAATGGCTGAGGTTGGAAGGGATTCCTGGGGGTCACCTATTTCAATCCCCTCGCTCAAGGAAGGACAGTCAGAGCAGGTTGCGCAGGATAATGTTCAAACAGCTTCGGGGCAGCCTAAGGTTTGCTGCTGAAGATAGCTCTGGCACGCTGCAAGTTATTAGAGTCATAGAATCATAGGAATCACCAAGGTTGGAAAAGACCTCAAGGCTCATCCAGTCCAACTGTTCACCCATTACCAACAGCTCCCACTGAACCACGGCCCTCAGCACAGCATCCAGCCTTGCCTTCAACACCCCCAGGCTCGGCGCCTCCCCCACCTCCCTGGGCATCCATTGCAGTGCTGCCCACCTTTCTGACACCTCTTTCTTCCTCATGTCCAGCCTGAATCTCCCCTGCCGTAGCTTGAAACCATTCTCTCTGGTCCTAAAAAATTAGCTTCTATCTTTTGGCTGCTATCACGCAAATAAAAGAGACAAGGCTCCAGCAGCTAGAATCATCCTTTCACAGAACGAGCACAGAACCCCAGCATGGCCTGGGTTGCACAGGAGCACAGCGCTCACCTGGTTGCAACCCCTGCTGTGTGCAGGTCGCCAACCAGCAGCCCAGGCTGCCCAGAGCCACATCCAGCCTGGCCTCCAATGCCTGCAGGGATGGGGCATCCACAGCCTCCTTGGGCAACCTGTGCCACTGCCTCACCGCCCTCTGGCTCAAAAACTTCCTCCTCATATCCAACCCAAACCTCCCCTGTCTCAGTTTAATGATGAATGAAGGCTGACCTTTGTATGTCATTTGCTCCAAGCACCCTGCTAGAGTGCAGCCAGTAAGAAGAGGTTGTCAGCATAGAATCATAGAATTGTTTGGGCTGAAAAGGACCTCAAAGATCACGGAGTCCAACCACAGCCCAGCCATCCCACCCCACCTCTTACAGCCCCCTGCTAAATCGCGGCCCTGAGCACCACATCCAATGGCTGTTAAACACAGCCAGGGATGGGGACCCAACCGCCTCCCTGGGCAGCCATTGCAGTGCTGAACAGCCCTTCCTGTAGAGAAGTTCCTCCTGAGATCCAAGCTAAACCTCCCCTGGCACAACTTGAGGCCATTTCCCCTCGTCCCGTCACCAGTGAGAAGAGAGCAGCCCCGCTCTGCTGCAATCCTCTTTCATAGAATCATAGAATCATAGAATCACCAAGGTTGGAAAAGACCTCAAAGCTCCCCCAGTCCAACCGTTCACCTATTCCCAATAGCTCCTACTAAACCATGTTCCTCAGCACAGCATCCAGCCTTTCCTTCAACACCCCCTGGGCCGGTGATTCCACCACCTCCCTGGGCATCCATTGCAGTGCCTGACCACTTTCAGCAGCAGAATGGGACAGATCTGAGTATTTTCAGGATACCTCAGTATCATTAATCCTGCTCTCCATTGTCAGTTAAGTTTCCCAGGAGCCAATAGGGAAATCCCTTCTGTAAATGTTTAGTTTTCAGTTGCTAAATAAATGGAGGTTTATATGTGAGGCTGCAGGGGTACCAGAGCCCCTCTCCTTTAGCAGCTGTTTATCAGATCAGGAAGCTCCTTAATGCCTGCATCTGCTTGGCTCTGGTGAGGCTGTAGTGCCAGGTTCAATGATGGGCTCCCCAGTACTGGAGAGACATGGATGCACTGGTGAGAGTCCAACAAAGGGCCAGGAAGGTGATGACAGGAGTGATAACGGTCCTGGTAACAGGGGACCATGAGAAGGCAGAGATACTAATGAATAAATGCCTTCTTTGCTTTAGTCTTTACTACAAAGACCGCTCCTCCAGACTCTCAGACCCTGCAGGCAAGAGAGAGACTGGGGAACACAAGGCTTCCCTAGGGATGAGGAGGAGATGGTTAGAGAGCATCCAGCCAAAATGGACATGCACACATCCATGGGCCCTGTGGGATGCCCTCATGTGTGCTGAGGGAGCTGGAGGAGGCGACTGCTGGACCGCCCTCTGTCCTCTCTGAAAGGTGTTGGTGGATGGGAGAGGTGCCTGAAGCTGGAGGAAAGGCGGTGTCACTCCTGGCATGGAGGATCTGGGAAACTACAGGCAGGTCAGCCTCACCTCTGTCCCTGGAAAGGTGACAGATGGAACAGTTTGCTCTGGATGCCATTCCAAGCAACTGGAAGAGAAGAAGGTTATCGGGTGTAATCAACGCGGGTTTACCAAGGGGAAATGGTGCTCGAGGAGCCTTCAGTGATGTTGCTGCTGACTGGGTGGATGGAGGGAGAGCAATGGGTGTCACTTGACTTCAGCAAGGTGTTTGACACCATCATCTCCCACAACATGCTGGTTATGAAACTGAAGAAGCGCAGGACAGATGCGTGGATGGTGAGGTGGACTGAGAACTGGATGACTGGCAGAGCTCAGAGGGTGGTGATCAGCTGAACAGTCTGGTTGGATGCCTGTAACCAGCAGTATTATGTGCTGTGAGAGCAGTGAGGGGCTGGAGCAGCTGCCCAAAGAGGCTGTGATGCCCCATCCATGCCTGGAGGTGTTCAAGGCCAGGTTGGATGGGGCCCTGGGCAGCCTGGGCTGCTGTGAAATGGGGAGGTTGTGCACGTGGGGTTGGAGATTCAGCATCCTTGGGGTCCCTTCCAACCCAACCTTTCTGTGATTCTGTGATTCAGTGTTTCCCAGGGTTTGGTGCTGGATCAGGTCTTGTTCAATGTCAGCAAGCTGGATGAAGGGACAGATTCTACCATCAGCACCTTATCTGATGATACAAAGCTGGGAAGAGTGACTGACACACCAGCTGAAATCAAAAGGACATAAAATGGCACGACTGGGAGAAAAAGTCATATTCTTGTGCGTGATACAAGAGCTTAATAAAAATTTATCATCTTTCTTTCCATTGCAGTTTGCCAAAGACTGATGTCCCAGTGTGGAATATGGCATCCAAGGCAAAACAGAGTCAACAAGACAGCGTTGGTGCTGGGAAAAATAAGGAAGTAAGAACAGGAAATAAGGAAGAACTGGGAAGAACCAAAAATGGAGATACATCCCAAAGTGCCATGGAAACACTCGTCAGAGAGAGGAATTCGTACCTGCAGAAGGAGTACGAGATTCTGACGGAGCACATGAACACGTACATGGGCAGAGTGGAGCGCTTTCTACGGGAGAATAAATTCCTGGAAGAGGAAGCCAAACGGAATCGGCAAGAGAGTAACATTTATCTCTCCTACCTGTCGAAACACAGCCAGAGGTGTCAGAATCTGATCATAACGTTAAACGAGCAGAATGAAGCCGATCTGTCTCAGGTCCAGCAGCAGAAAGAGAAGCTCGTCTCACGGTACGCAGAAAAAGAAGAGGAGGTCAGGAACCGTCTGACGGAGGTGGAGGCGAAGTACGCTCTTATGAGCAGTGAGGTTGAAGACCTGCAGCCTTTCAAAGACCTGCAGTTGGAACAGACGAGAAAGATCAAAGAGCTGGAGAAGGAACTGTTGGTGACGAAGATCCACCATTCCGAAGAGATGCACCAAATCAAGAGCCGGTTTCTGCAGGCCAAAGCGGGTCGCGAGGAGGACTCTCGTCAGAAGATCCTGCTGCTCAGCAGGAGAGCAGAAGAAGCAGCAATGCTCTCCTTAATTCAGCATATCGAGCAAGTGAAAGCTGAGAACCGGCGTCTGCGGCAGGAGTTGCTCGGGCTCATCCGATGCTCGAAGGTCCTCAAGGAAATCCAAGCCGAACTGAGGGAGCAGCAGCAGCAGCTGCTTCGGGAGCAGTGGTGCACCCAGGACGTGGCACACGCGCGGCGCAGGCTGCACCAGCAGGAGGCAAACCGGGGCGCCTGCAGCTCTCACAGCCCTTTTGGATGCGGATATTAGCCTAGAGAAACACTTCTCTGAGCCTCACCGGTGATGCTGTGTCACCAGATCTTGCTGGACACCAGTGGCTGTGACAGCCAGTTTGGTCACTGAAGGCTCCGAAGCGATCAGGGGAGCTGAGTGTTGTGTGTGTGGATGAAAGGAGCCACTGACACAGCTCACCCTGTATTTACTGACACCACAGAATGAACAGACAAAGGCCAACTCCTCTAGCAGCAGACTTCATTAAATTTACCTTCCACTGGACTCCAAAGGGCAGAAAATAAACAAGCAAGCAACCAAAGTTTCAAACAATATATGCACTCAAGGTATTTGATCTTTGGTCTTAACAATGAGTACCATATATTCATTTTCATCTTTGCTTTCTTTTCTTTTTTCCTTCAATCTTTGCTTTCCCTTTTTTTTTTTTTTTTCTTTTTGTTTTCTTCTTGCTGTAGTGTTTCACTTGAAAAGCAAGAGGCAGACAGTAATAGCAGCCTGTTGTTTCATTCACCTTTCAAGCTGAAACCTCTGGATTTATCTCATCAACAATGACATCACAGAATCACAGAATGGCCCAGGTTGGAAGGGACCCCAAGGATCACGAAGCTCCAACCCCCACCACAGCAGGGCCACCAACCTCCCCATTTCACAGCAGCCCAGGCTGCCCAGGGCCCCATCCAACCTGAACACCTCCAGGGATGGACGGGGCATCACAGCCTCTCTGGGCAGCTGTTCAGCCCCTCACCGCTCTCACAGCACACAACTTCCCCTGACATCCAACCTCCAGCTGCCCTCCCTCAACTCCAAACCATTTCCCCTCGTCCTGCTGCCATCTCCCCTTCCCAAGAGCTGACTCCCCTCCTGTCTGCAGGCTCCCTTGAGGCACTGCAGGCTGCACTGAGGTCACCCCGCAGCTTCTCTCCTCCATGCTGAACGAGCCCAGCTCCCTCAGCCTGTCTTTGCAGTGGAGGTGCTGCAGCCCCTGATCATCTCTGTGGCTCCTCTGCACCCTCTCCAACAGCTCCCTGTCTTTCTTGTGCTGGGGGCTCCAGCCCTGGACGCAGTGCTGCAGATGGGGCCTCATGAGAGCAGAGCAGAGGGGGACGATCACCTCCCTGTCCCTGCCGGCCACCCCTCTGCTGATGGAGCCCAGGATCCCATTTGCTTTCTGAGCTGCAATGCACACTGCTGCCTCACGTTAAGCTTTTCACCCACCAGGACCCCCAGGTCCTTCTCCGCAGGGCTGCTCTCAAGGACTGCTCTTTCCAGTCTGTATAAACACTTGGTATTCCTCCAGCCCGAGTGCCCAACCTTGCACTTTGCTGTGTTGAACCTCATCAGATTCATCTGGGCCCACCTTTCAAGTCTGCCGAGGTCCCTCTGAATGGCATCCCTTCCTTCCACTCTGTCAGCCACGCCACTCAGCTTGGTGTCAGCAGCAAACTTGCTGATCCCTTAGTGCAAGACTTAGTGTTTTTCAGCACTGAGCTGCGTGAGAATCCTGAAGGCCAATTTCTCCACCCTGCCACGGCCCCCCAGGGGCAGCACAAGCATCTGCTGTAAAACCACTCCTTCCTGTTTTGTATCCTCTGCAAACCTGCAGAGATTGCAGTCCAGCCGTTTATTCAGGTAATCAATGTAGAAGCCAGGCAGCAGTCATCCTGAACTGACTCCTTGGAAAACCACTGCAGTGAGTGACCTCAGCTGCTCTCCCAGTCACTGACGACATCTGTTTGTTTCCAGCAGCTGAGTTATCACTCCGTGTAACCTTCTTACGAATAGCAGAAATACAAATCAGCTGGGATTGAGGCTAATAAATCAAATAAATGAGTTTCTGAAAATTGAGGTTCTTACTCTGATCTCAGGAAGCAAAGGGAGCCCAGTGACTTCGAGTCATTTGTACCTTTCCTACCACTTGGATAATGGAAACAGAACGGCAGGCCAAAGGGGCTCCTAAAACCCATTATTCTGTATTCTAAAAGTTGATACTGACTGTGTGGAAGAATGCAGATCACAGCCTGAGGAGGTGAGCAGCTCCTGAGAAAGGGCTTGTATGAGTCTGAGAGCACAAGTAAGTGCCTCCAGCTTCTGCATGGAGCTAGAAGAAACTCCCTTGTCACAAACGGCTCTGCAGGTGTACCCAAGTACCCCTGCTTTCTGTGGAGGACCTTCCTATCCTGATGAATGATGCTTCATTGTCTCCCACTGTTACACACATATATATGGCCATGTACTAAGAGGTGTGCGTGGAGCTCCTGCTGGTTGGCAGCCACTGGCATCTGCAGGAAAAAACCCCAATGCAGACACTCGACCAGGCGGCTGCCACCAGTAGCTGGGACCTGGTGGAGACAGCCCTGGCTGGCCAACCCTATTGAACTGATGAACGGCCATTTGCCTCCCCGTATTTTCTTTAGGAACCTTATAAAAATCAGTGCAGCTGGTTCAGATGGTGTCACAAATCTCCAAGAAGCACGAGCAAGGAACTGTTCATCCTGTCATTGTTTTCTGGTCAGACAAGATGATCTTCTGTTCAGTCAATTCTTAACCAAGTACAGGCACTGTATTAAAAGGCTGCTAGAGAGTGATTTGGGCATGGCATACACAGAGAGACAAAGCCAAATGTCATAAGCAGTCATTAGTGATGATCTCGTCTACGCTTAGATCAGCTTGTCAGCATGGATGTTATGGCTCAGTGTCCACCAGAGTAGTGGATAGGAGGGACAGAGGTGCATTACAGGCATTTACATTGACAGCTGCTAGAGAAAGAAAGGAAGGAAGGGGGAGGGGGAAGAGAAAGGAAGGAAAGGAGGAAGGGAGGAAGGAAGTGTTGGAAATACTGAAATAATTTATCAGGGCAGTATATCTGATACAGCAGATGTTATTCGCAATTGCGATGGTGGGCCTCCTGCAAGCAGGAGAGCTCGCAGAAAACAGCGTTCCATATTTCATGCCCTATTGCCCGACCCTTATCTCTTTCTCCCCTGGTTCCTCATTGGCTGAGCACTGCAGGTTCACAATCTTTCCGATGCTCAACTGAACATACGGATACTGGCTAAACATAATTTTTTGCTAGCTAGGCATATATCACTAATTGGTCAAGTTCTCACACTTGCTCATTCAATGCTTGGTCATTGTGTCTGGACATCTGCTCATCCTTGCATAGAGATAAGCTTGGAAAGAGGATAGGGGGAGTATCTTGATACCTGCCTGTTGCATCCCAGCCTACAGAGCAAGGCAAACCAGCCTTGTGTAGAGGCCCTGGCTTCTCTGATGTCTGTTAAGTCTGTTTCTCTTTTGCTGAGGGTCTCTTATCCAAACAGAATGGCCCTATAATATGCTTTCTGTTCCATAATTCTATACCTACACTATTTGGAACATTTAAAAACTACTGCAGTTTTGCAAGCAAGAATTAATCACACAATTCAGCAACTGTATTTCCATGTTACTAACATAGATGGTATTTCTACTTTTTCACATCAGCTATTTCCAAGGACAAGTTACAAAATACAAGCACGCTGCGCTCTACTTCTTCAGATCAATTCCCTCTTTTTAATATCTAATGCAGAAACAACAACAAGGAAGGAAGGAAGGAAGGAAGGAAGGAAGGAAGGAAGGAAGGAAGGAAGGAAGGAAGGAAGGAAGGAAGGAAGGAAGGAAGGAAGGAAGGAAGGAAGGAAGGAAGGGGGGGAAGAGAAAAGAAGAAAGGGAAGGAAGAGAAAGGAAACAGAAAAGAGGGAAGGGGGGGAAAGAAGGAAAGAGGAAAAGAATAAAGCAAAGCGCACTGCAACACCGCGCGCTTTGATGACGTCAGAGCGCTCCCGGTGATCCCGGCGCAAAGCGCACGGCTCGCAGCACCGCCGTGTCGCCCTGTGCGCATGCGCGGCGCGTCCGTTCCCACGGCGACGGAGAGGCGCCGCAATGAGCGAAGCGGAGCTGGACGCGGCCGTGGCGGGGAAATACGAAATGAAGAAGCGGCTGGGAAAGGGGGTGAGCGGATGGGGGGGCGGGGAGCTGCTTCGGATCTTTGCCTTCGGTCGTGGTTCCGTCCCTGCTGCTTAAACCGAGCAGAACGGAGAAAATCAGAGGTAACAGCTCGATAACTGCTGCTGCTGTGGGTCCCTATGGCACCCTATGGGACCCTATAGCACTGCTATGGGTCCCTGCAGGACTTTATGGACCCTATAGCACTCTGTGGGTTCTTATGGCACTCCTCTGGCTCCTTATGGCATCCTATGGATCCCTGTGGCACTGCTGTGGGCCCCTATGGGATCCCTGTGGCACTGCTATGGGTTCTATGGCACTGCTGTGGGCCCCTATGGCACCCTAGGGATCCTTTTGGCACTGCTGTGGGTCCCTATGGTACCCTATGGGACCCTATAGCACTGCTATGGGTCCCTGTAGGACTTTATGGACCCTATGGCACTCTGTGGGTTCTTATGGCACTGCTATGGATCGCTATGGCACTCCTCTGGCTCCTTATGGCATCCTATGGATCCCTGTGGCACTGCTGTGGGTCCCTATGGTACTGTTGTGGGCCCCTATGGCACCGTAAGGATCCTTTTGGCACTGCTGTGGGTCCCTATGGTACCCTATGCATCCCTATGGCACTGCTGTGGGTCCCTGTGGCACTCTAAGGATCCCTATGACACCCTATGGATCCTTATGGCACTTATGACCCTAAGGCACCCTTTGGGTTCTCTGGGCAGCTTGGTCTGCTGTTTGATGACCCTGCACACAGCAGGGGGTTGGAACCAAATGAGCATCGTGGGCTTTTTCAACCCAGGCCATTCTGTGACGCTATGGAGCTGGGCATTTAACCTGAATTTTGGCTGTTCTGGATGGCTGTTAATGAATGAGGTCCTTGCAGATGCTCGTTACTCGGTCTGCCCTGTGGGACAGATCCAACTTTCTTATTTCTGGTCATAGATTTGAATCTTTCCGCATTCTAAGGAGTGCTTTATGGCTGCACAGTGGTGTCATTGCTTTCGTGTTAATGTTTAAATGTCTGCACAAAGTCAAACAGTTCTGTGTTTGCTGAGTGGTTTTCATACTTAGATAAGAGATAACGGCATTCAGGGGGACTTCCCAAGAATGTTTATGAACCTGGAACATAGAATCACAGAACCATAGAAAGGCCTGGGTTGGAAAGGACCACGATGATCACTGAGTTCCAACCCCCTGCTTGTGTGCAGGGTCACCAACCAGCAGACCAGGCTGCCCAGAGAACCCATAGGGTGCCACAGGGATCCATAGGGTGTCATAGGGATTCATAGTGTGCCCTAGGGACCCACAGGTTGCCATAAGAACCCATGGGGTGCCATAGGGATCCACAGGGTGCTATAGGGACCCATAAGGAGCCATAATCATAAAATCCCAGCATGGCCTGGGTTGCACAGGAGCACAGTGCTCATCCAGTTCCAACCCCTGCTGTGTGCAGGTCGCCAACCAGCAGCCCAGGCTGCACAGAGAACCCACATTGATTGAGATTGATCGGGTGCCATAGAGATTGATAGGGTGCCATAGGGATCTGCAGGGTGCCATAGGGATCTGCAGGGTGCCATAGGGATCTGCAGGGTGATATAAGGATCCCCAGGGTGCCTTAGGGATCCACAGGGTGCCATAAGGATCCACAGGGTGCCATAAGGATCCACAGGGTGCCATAGGGATCCATAATGATCCATAGGGTGCCATAATCATAGAATCATCCTAGAATGGCCTGGGTTGCACAGGAGCACAGCGCTCACCTGGTTCCAACCCCTGCTGTGTGCAGGTCGCCAACCAGCAGCCCAGGCTGCCCAGAGCCACATCCAGCCTGGCCTCCAATGCCTGCAGGGATGGGGCATCCACAGCCTCCTTGGGCAACCTGTGCCACTGCCTCACCGCCCTCTGGCTCAAAAACTTCCTCCTCATATCCAACCCAAACCTCCCCTATCAGTTTAAAACCATTCCCCCTTGCCTTGTCAAACATGGGTTCAGGTCCTTTGGTCAGAGTATAGATGTTCTCAGTCCTCCAATGAACAAAGTATTAATTATTGGACTAATTTCTCTTTCTTGTAGGTAATTGTTGAGTTTCTCTACTGAATTCCCACGCTGAAGGTCTGAATTCCGCTGGGATGCTGCAGTGTTCCACTCACCTGTCCTTTCCCCCTGCAGGCTTACGGCATTGTATGGAAAGCAATTAATCGCAGGACAGGAGAAATAGTTGCAGTTAAGAAGATTTTTGATGCTTTCAGGAACAGAACAGATGCTCAGGTTAGAGACCATTTATAACATTTACGTGGCCCTGAGCACCACATCCAATGGCTGTGATACACAACCAGGGATTGGGACCCAACCGCCTCCCTGGCAGCCCATGGCAGTGCTGAACAGCCCTGTCTGTAGAGAAGTTCCTCCTGAGATCCAACCTGAACTTACCTGGATGGAGGATAGGATGTCCTATAGTATCTAAATCTGGAGAGCACCCGTATCCTCACCTAACGGAGCAACTGTTTGTTTTGTTCCCAAGCCTGTCTGCTATATGAAGCTTTCCGCTCCCTTAGAAATGCGAATGGGTTTTCCTTTCCCACAGGAAGTCCATGCTCTCTTCTGTCATTCTGCAATGTGATAACGATTTTTTGTTTCTTTCTAGAGAACGTTTCGTGAGATTATGTTCCTACAGGTAAGGTCCATTTTCCCAATACTCTTTGCTTTTCAGTTCTCTCTGATGTTCACATATTTTCTTCTCGTCCTTTTTCCAAGTTCAGTGTTCAGTACTGAAACGACCTTTCACTTTTTTTTTTTCGCTGCCTTGCAAAGCAGTCATTAGAAATTCAAGAAAGTCATGTTCCCCTGTGCTCAGCTCTGTGAGGCCGCACCTCGAGGGCTGTGTCCAGTTTTGGGCCCCTCACTGCAAGAAAGATATTGAGGCCCTGGAACGTGTTCAAAGGAGGGCAATGAAATGGTGAGGGGTCTGGAGCACAGGGCTGTGAGGAGAGGCTGAAGGAGCTGGGGATGTTCAGGGTGAGAAGAGGAGCTGAGGGCAGAGCTCACTGCTCTCTATGGCTGCTGAAGGCAGGCTGCAGGGAGCTGGGGGGCGGCCTCTGCTCTCGTGCCATCAGTGATGGGAGCAGAGGGAACGGCTTCAAGCTGCGGCAGGGGAGATTCAGGCTGGACGTGAGGAAGAATGAGGTGTCAGAAAGGTGGGCAGCACTGCAATGGATGCCCAGGGAGGTGGGGGAGGCAGCGAGCCTGGGGGTGTTGAAGGAAAGGCTGGATGCTGTGCTGAGGGACGTGGTTTAGTAGGAGCTATTGGGAATAGGTGAACGGTTGGACTGGGGGAGCTTTGAGGTCTTTTCCAACCTTGGTGATTCTATGGTTCTATGATTCTATAAAACACAGTGACCCAAATGCAATGAAGAGATGGTTTGATTCGTCTGCCCAGAGCCACATCCAGCCTGGCCTGGAATGCCTCGAGGAATGGGGCATCCACAGCCTCCTTGGGCAACCTGTGCCAGTGCTGGTGACTGAATTTTACTCACACGTAACACAGCAGCATTTGCAGTACTGATTCCTTATACAGAACTTTTGAATAACTGACTGGTTCCATATTGTGGAGGAAGATTAAATACATCTTATATTTCAGTAGAAGCTTAATGAAGGAAACTGCACATTACTGTTTGTTCTAGAGAATAATACAAAAGGAAATAATTACAGTTTTCTTGTGTGATTCACTCGACTTTGACTGCTGGGTCTCTCTTCCCTCTGCAGGAATTTGGAGAGCATCCCAATATCATCAAGCTGCTCGATGTTATCCGAGCTCAGAACAACAAGGACATCTACCTCATTTTTGAGTCTATGGGTGACTGAGCGTTGTTGGCTATTTAAACATAGCCTGTCTTGCAAGTTATCTTTCTTCCTTCCCTGTTGTGATTAGATGGGAACAGCAGCCATGCTTTGGAGGGAATAATAATGATGAGAGCATTGTTGGGTTGGAAGGGAAGGAAGGCAGTGAGCATCAAATCAGAAGACTTAGAGAGATAGAAGAGATGGCAGAATTGCATATAGAAGAGACTGTATGTAGTTCTACTGTAACAAAACTGTGTAATAATGGAGCAATTACTGTAGCATAATCTGCAAGTAATAGATATTACAGTGATAATAGAGACTGCAGGCTCGAGCTCAGACTGACTGCAGTCACTGGTGGCTGGGAGGTTCCATTTTAGTGACTGTTATCTCTAATATTTTTTAAGTGATTTGGATTTGAGACTTGAAGGTATAGAATTATAGATTATAGATTGGCCTGGGTTGAAAAGGATCACAATGGTCACTTAGTTTCAACCCTCTGCCGTGGGCTGGGCTGCCAACCCCCAGACTAGGGTGCCCAGAGAACCGATAGGGTGCCATAGAGATGCATAGGGTGCCACAAGAACCCATAGGGTGCCATAATCATAGAATGATCACAGAACCCCAGCATGGCCTGGGTTGCACAGGAGCACAGCGCTCACCTGGTTGCAACCCCTGCTGTGTGCAGGTCGCCAACCAGCAGCCCAGGCTGCCCAGAGCCACATCCAGCCTGGCCTCCAATGCCTGCAGGGATGGGGCATCCACAGCCTCCTTGGGCAACCTGTGCCACTGCCTCACCGCCCTCTGGCTCAAAAACTTCCTCCTCACATCCAACCCAAACCTCCCCTGTCTCACTTTCAAGCCATTCCCCTTGTCCTGTCACCACCCACCCTCACACACAGCCGTTCCCCTCCTGTTTCTCCACTCCCTTCAAGTTCTGGAAGGCCACAATGAAGTCTCCCTATGGTGACCCACAGCTTCTTTAGGAGGGGGAAGCACTGATCTGTCTGCATTGGACCTTTAGGTTGGATGTTAGGGGGAAGTTCTTCACAAGGAGAGCGGTCAGGCCCTGGAACGGGCTGCCCAGGGAGGTTGTGGATGCTCCGTCCTTGGCCGTGTTCAAGGCCAGGTTGGACGGGGTCCTGGGCAACCTGATCTGAATGTGTGTTTGGTGGCCCTGCTGGGCAGGGGGGTTGGAACTGCGTGATCCTTGAGGTCCCTTCCAACCCGGGTGATTCTGTGATTCTGTGATTCTGTGATCTGTGACCCGAAGGAGCAGCATGCAGCTATGGCAGGGGAGGGTCAAGTGGGTAAAGGTTCTTAAGTGAGAGTGTCTAGGCACTGAAGCAGCTCCCCAAGGGTTCATGGCACCAAGCCTATCAGTGTCAGAGAAGAGTTTGAGCAGTGCTCTCAGACAGACTGTGCTTTCTGTGGAGCCAGGAGTTGCTCTTGATGATCCTTATGGGTCCCTTCCGTAGTCTGCGATTCTGTTCTTCTATCGCGATGCGATCAGCGGTTGAAGCGTTCACCTCCACTGAGAGTTCAGTTGAGAGGCTGCAGTCTGTAAAATGTCCATCCTGGCCTGGTTTGGAGCAATTTTATATTTGCAACTCAGTAATCTTCTCCTGCTGTGTATTACAGAGACAGATTTACATGCTGTCATTAAGAAGGGGAATGTGCTGAAGGACATCCACAAGTGTTACATTCTCTATCAACTCCTGAAAGCCACTAAATTCATCCATTCAGGAAATGTTATTCACAGGGATCAGAAGGTATGTTTCACTTCCTAGGCCTTATCTTTCTATCAGCCTTTCTGTTAAACACTAACTGGAAACGTATGAGAAGAACACGACTGGTAGAAGGATGTTGATGACCTTCTGCCATTCAGAGCGTAAAGAGCTTATTCGTTTTCCCTTCTTCAATTCAGCCTTCGAATATCTTGCTGGATGCAGACTGCTTTGTGAAGCTCTGTGATTTTGGGCTGGCCCGTTCTTTGTGTCAGATGGATGAAGAACAAAGCAGCCCTGCCTTAACAGAATACGTGGCCACGCGCTGGTACCGAGCCCCTGAGATCCTGCTTTCCTCCCGGAGGTAACGGCCTGCTATGAGCAAAGGGGTGGCACTGTGCAATTCTTTCACTGCTGGGGGAAATTTCTGATTGAGAAGTCTTAAATCCTTTCATTTTGGATGTCTCTGGGTGCAGTGGGAGGTCAACAGTCCATTTTCTCAACATGCATTTAAACTTCTCTCATTACATGTATGTTTCCTTCCTGGCTTCTTAGGTTGACCACTTACCTACAATATCAGCTCATCTGTTTATTGTCTTTTCTCCCACAAACCTATTTTTTCTCTCCTTAAATCTGATTCATTGCAAAATTTTGTTGAGTGCCTCTGTGCTCTTATTCAGAATTTGGCTTTAAGGACTCAGGGAGGCAGATTTTTTCCTCAATTTGCTACTTTTCACAGCATCACAGCATGGCCCAGGTTGGAAGGGACCCCAAGGATCACGGAGCTCCAACCCCCACCACAGCAGGGCCACCAACCTCCCCATTTCACAGCAGCCCAGGCTGCCCAGGGCCCCATCCAACCCGGCCTTGAACACCTCCAGGGATGGACGGGGCATCACAGCCTCTCTGGGCAGCTGTTGCAGCCCCTCACCACTCTCACAGCACAGAACTTCCCCTGACATCCAACCTCCAGCTGCCCTCCCTCAGCTTCAAACCATCCCCCTCGTCCTGCTGCCATCTCCCCTTCCCAACAGCTGACTGCCCTCCTGTCTGCAGGCTCCCTTGAGGCACTGCAGGCTGCACTGAGGTCACCCCGCAGCTTCTCTCCTCCATGCTGAACGAGCCCAGCTCCCTCAGCCTGTCTTTGCAGTGGAGGTGCTGCAGCCCCTGATCATCTTTTCAAGCACATTGCTTTTCTTTGCTGATGAAGCTGAAAGCTTTGGCTTATTCTGCTTTTGCCTAAGGAAGATTTTCAGTACTAGCTGATGCTTCCCGATAGAAAATACGTGTGGGTTTTATACCCCAAGTTTGAAATCTGGATGTTGTGCAGACTGTCGTTTTGATCTGTTGGAGTGAGTCCAGAGGAGGCCATAAGGATGCTCAGAGGCTGCAGCACCTCTCCTACGAAGACAGGCTGAGAGCTGGAAAGTGAAAAGACTTCGGGGAGACTTCAAACCTTCTTAGTATTTAAAGGAGGGCTGTAGGAAAGCTGGGAAGGGACTTTTTACAAGGGCGCGTGGTGATAGGAGAAGGGGAGTAAAAGGTAGGATGTAAAAGTGGGGAGGCACTGGATCAGTTTGCCCAGACAAGGTGAGGACGTCCCATCCCTGGAGCTGCTCAAGGCACCTGGATGAGGCTCTGAGCAATCTGGGAAGTCCCTGCACGTTGCAGTGGGGTTGGAACTGGTTTGTCTTTAAGGTCTGCTCCGATGCAAACCTTTCTGTGGTTTATCCACTGTTTGCCATCATTCTTTCTAGCTGCATTACGCCCTGAAAAATCACATGACACCTATCAGTTGTTTCTAAGCAGCAGCTTTGTATCTTCACTGTTGGTAATGTGACCAGTAGATGTTGCCTTGTTCTGAAACCCACCTTTAATATATTTCCTTCTCTGGTTTTATATGGAATAAAAGAACTTACTTAATTTTCTTGCAAAATAAGGCAAAATAGATTATAGGAATGCCAGGTACTAAAAAGACAGACCAAACTCTGTTCTGTTCTTCTTTGTAGCTACACTAAAGGGGTGGACATGTGGAGCATTGGCTGCATTCTGGGCGAGCTGCTGCTTGGGAAACCTCTTTTTCCTGGAACATCAACCATCAATCAAATAGAGCAGATCTTGAGGGTCATTCCTGCCCCATCCTCAGAAGGTAAGGCTTTTCCCTATGGAGGAAGTTACTTAAAGAAGAGATAAAAAGAGTGTAAGAAAGCAGCCTGTCTGGATCAGAAAGAAGATATCCATTAGATTTTCTTCTAACATCTTCCCAAGGAAGGAAATCTTAATAGAGAAATGCTAATTTTGTAATAAAACAGACCTGTCTTTGATTAGATGAGAAGGAAGAACAAGGCCTTCAGAACATTTTTAAGTTTTATAAAATGGCAAAGGTTTAAAACACAGTACCATACCTCAGTTGGACTGGTGTAGTCATAGTAAATTGTAATTTTGGTCTGGAAATCTAAATAATAGAATGAATCATAGAATGGCCTGAGTTGAAAAGGACCTCAAAGATCATCCAGCTCCAACCCCTGCTGTGTGCAGGTCGCCAACCAGCAGCCCAGGCTGCCCAGAGCCACATCCAGCCTGGCCTCCAATGCCTGCAGGGATGGGGCATCCACAGCCTCCTTGGGCAACCTGTGCCACTGCCTCACCGCCCTCTGGCTCAAAAACTTCCTCCTCACATCCAACCCAAACCTCCCCTGTCTCACTTTCAAGCCATTCCCCTTGTCCTGTCACCACCCACCCTCACACACAGCCGTTCCCCTCCTGTTTCTCCGCTCCCTCCAAGCACTGAAGGCCACCATGAGGTCTCCCCTCAGCCTTCTCTTCTCCAAGCGAAACCATCCCAGTTCCCTCAGCCTTTCCTCACAGCAGAGCTGCTCCAGCCCTCTGCTCATGTCCAGCTTCTCATCTACCAGGACCCCCAGTCCTTCTCCGCAGGGCTGCTCTCATGGGGTTCTTTGCCCAGTCTCTATCAATACCTGGGTTTGCCCCAACTCAAATGCGGCACCTGCACCTGGCCCTACTGAACCTCGTTAGATTTCACTTCTCCAGCCTGTCCAGGTCCCTCTGGATGGCTTCCCTTCCTTCAGTGTTCGGACTGCAGCACTCAGCTTGCTGTTATCACAAACTCCCTGAGGCTGCACTCGATGCCGTCGTCCGTCATTGATGGAGACGTTGAAGACCGACTCCTGAGGGACACAAACTTGTCCTCCTGCACCCTGACACAGAACCATTGATCACAACCCTTTGGCTGTGTCCTAATCCATCCAACAGTCCACCCTTCAAGTGAGGGATCCATAGGGTGCTATAAAGACACATAGGATGCCACAGGAACCCATAGGGACCCATAGGGTGCCATGGGGTGCTATAAGGACCCATAGGGTGCCATAAGGTGCTATAAGGACCTATAGGGACTCATAGGGTGCCACAGGGATCCATAGGGTGCTATAAGGACCCATAGGGACCCATAGGGACCCATAGAGTGCTATAAGGACCCATAGGGTGCCATAGGGATCCATAGGGTGCTATAAGGACCCATAGGGACCCATAGAGTGCTATAAGGACCCATAGGGTGCCATAGGTATCCATAGGGTGCTATAAAGACACATAGGATGCCACAGGAACCCATAGGGACCCATAGGGTGCCATAGGGTGCTATAAGGACCCATAGGGACCCATAGGGTGCCATAGGGATCCATAGGGTGCTATAAGGACCCATAGGGACCCATAGAGTGCTATAAGGACCCATAGGGTGCCATAGGGATCCATAGGGTGCTATAAGGACCCATAGGGACCCATAGGGACCCATAGAGTGCTATAAGGACCCATAGGGACCCATAGAGTGCCATAGGGATGAAACTTTTCAAACAAGGAAAACTGAACTGTGAGCAGCAACTTTTCCATGAGATTTGTAGGGAACTGAGAAGCAAGATTCTGAAAAAAACCACGATTCCATTGCAACTGTTGACTAAAAGGGTCTGACAGATCCGTCCAGGAAGCAGCTCATGGTCATCAGTCAAAAAGAACCCAGAAGTGCCGGAGCAAACAGCTGGATCTCTCATTCTCTGTGCAAAGCAGTGCTTTGGAGCAGGTCGTTTTGCCTCACATGTCTTGGTGCTTCCAGCTATGGAGTATAGGAGCACATGTTTATGAAACCCGTGAGAATGTAAATAGAAACTGTGAACAGTATTAGAAAATGTGTAAGTAAATATTCTGTCCCCACTCCATAAGATTTCCTTCTGATCTCTGTTAGAATAATTTTCTATGACATTTATTAGGCTGATTTCCTCTATGCCATTTTAATGCCATATATTTGCTTTCCTGCATAAACTACAAAGCTCTGCTGATCGTCGACTGTAATTTTGTTATTGCAGATATTATGGCTATGAAATCAGACTACAGGGCCTCAATTATTGACCGCATGAGTTCCCGGTAAGCTCTGTATGTTAAATGTGTCTCAGATGTCAACAGCTGCTGTTTAGTGTGTACAAAAAGTTATCCCAGTGTTACCTGCCAGTGCTGGCACAGGTTGCCCAAGGAGGCTGTGGATGCCCCATCCCTGCAGGCATTGGAGGCCAGGCTGGATGTGGCTCTGGGCAGCCTGGGCTGCTGGTTGGCGACCTGCACACAGCAGGGGTTGGAACCAGGTGAGCGCTGTGCTCCTGTGCAACCCAGGCCATTCTAGGATGATTCTATGATTATGGCACCCTCTGGATCCTTATGGGTTCCTATGGCACCCTATGGGTCCCTATGGCACCCTATGGATCCCTATGGCACCCTATGGGTTCTTATGGCACCCTACGGATCCCTGTGGCACCTTATGGGTTCTTATGGCACCCTATGGGTTCTTATGGCACCCTATGGATCCCTATGGCACCCTATGGGTTCTTATGGCACCCTATGGGTTCTTATGGCACCCTATGGATCCCTATGGCACCCTATGGGTTCTTATGGCACCCTATGGATCCCTATGGCACCCTATGGATCCCTATGGCACCCTATGGGTTCTTATGGCACCCTATGGATCCCTATGGCACCCTATGGATCCCTATGGCACCCTATGGGTTCTTATGGCACCCTATGGATCCCTATGGCACCCTATGGATCCCTATGGCACCCTATGGGTTCTTATGGCACCCTATGGATCCCTATGGCACCCTATGGATCCCTATGGCACCCTATGGGTTCTTATGGCACCCTATGGATCCCTATGGCACCCTATGGGTTCTTATGGCACCCCATGGGTTCTCTGGGCAGCCTGGTCTGCTGGTTGGTGACCCTGCACACAGCAGGGGTTTGGAACTCCATGATCCAGGCCATTCCATGATTCTATGGTTGCAAACTGTTGCCATGTGTACTTTCTCCAAATTAGAAATTTTACTTTCCTGAGTTGTTTGGGTGTCTATGGGGGCTTATTTTAGCATGTAGGCCCACAGCATCACAGGTGGATGTTGGTGGTACGGCAGGAGAGGCTGAACGTTCCCACCAATATTCCATTACATTCTGTTGTCGTGTGACAGATGGCTGTCTGGCAGAATGGTGTCTGACATGGAAGCGTAGGTAGAAGTGGCAGAAATGCATAGCAGTGGTGACTGTGTTTAGAGATTGTGTTTCGTAGCCCAGAATTTGCTCTCTCAAACAGTGTCACTGTGCTCTTTGTAACTGCTGTCGTTTCCAGGGAAGTAAATAGGAGGTACTACAACTTACTTATTACTTACTTAATATTACTCATGTAATACTTCTTATTACATGAGCTATGTAATATCATTGGTTCACACGTGGAGAACATGAATCTATTTAGGCTGACAGCTTCGTTCCAGCTGTTTAATGACTCTCAGTGTGATTTTCAGGTTTTTTCATTGTATGTCTCGTGGTTCTGTTGAATTCTCCTGCTATTCACACAGACCACAACATAACTCTGCTTAAGTCAATTATTCCACACCTAATTAGTAAATATTAGGAAATGCAACACTTCTGCACAAGCCTAAGGCCATAGCAAGCTAGGCACCAGTTTCTAATGACTTGTACCCGTATCTGCCATGGTCTGGGCATCCCTCCTCATCAGGGAATTGGCAGTACTGTCCTCCTAGCTATGAGCTGTGTGGATTCTCTGGATGCTCAGTGATAAACCTGATGTTTAGAGGGTTGGGTGAGGGCTCAGACCTTGATCCACTCAGAATCATAGAATCACAAGGTTGGAAACGATCTATAAGATCATCCAGTCCAACCATCTCCTCATCACCATTGCCACCACCAGCACTAAACCACATCTCACAGCTCCTCATCCAGATGCCTCTTGAACGCCGCCAGGGACGGCGACTCCACCACCTCCCTGTGCAGCCATTGCAGGGCCTGAGCACCCTTTGAGAGAAGAAGTTCTTCCTTATGTCCAACCTAAACCTCCTCAAACTCCATCAGGTCTCTCGCTGCTCATGTGACCAATGCGTGCCTTTTTATGATGACTTCTTCAGCTGGCCTCCCATAGTCTCCTTCTGGCTTTCCGAAGGATAAACATCCATTTATGAACGCCACAGAGGGATGTGCCCACAGATGCTCGAGTCACCGGGCGTGAGGTGTGTGAGGGAATTTGGGCAAATACCTGCAGTGAATTTCACCTCCAGCTGTGTGGGACTTCACACCCAAGCTGGCACGACTTCCTGAAGTGATGAAACACCAAAAGTTGCCTCGTCTGTGCCACAGAGGGAGAGAACTTGTTGCACTGTGCTGTGCCTCGGGGGAGTGAGAGGATCTTTGGATGTGAGGGCAGGCAGATGGGTGCTGTGGCTGAACCAGAGTCCTGACTCCAGCTGTAATGGTCCCCTCTGTACCAAAGAAGGCACAACGAAGGCACAATGAAGGAGCAGTGCCCTCAGGTCCCTTCCAACTCTCAGGACCCTGAGGACTGTGAAATAGATGATGTGAGCTTATCTCATTGCTTCCTAACTTGCAGGCAACGGGTAACGTTTGAGGAGATTTTACCATCCTCCACTCCTTTGCCTGCCTTGGATCTTCTGAAGAAGCTTTTAGTGTTTAACCCTGACAAACGACTGACGGCAGAGGAGGCCCTGCAGCATCCCTATGTGAAAAGGTGAGCAATGCCAGTGTGCCAATCCCTGCATTCTGCTCAGATGTTAGAGAGCTGCTTTCAGCATGAGGTGCCTTTATGCTAATTGTGGAAAGAAAAAAAGAAGTTAATCCCTAACCCTCTCCAAGCCTGTTTACTCTAGAGGTCACGCTAGATGATTGAACAACAGTTAATTCAGCATAATATTAATCTGTGGAGCTGGTTTAGTCTCAGTGCCTTACGCCATGCTGTCATCTTCCTAGGTTTCACTGCCCTGCCACGGAGCCCTCTCTGGGTTACGATGTGATTCTTCCTTTAGCTGATGACACTCAGCTGTCTGTGGCAGAATATCGAAACAAACTGTATGAGGTACATTCTTTTGCCCTGTTTTCTGAAGCCTTAATCCCCCCAAGGATCTGTCATTCTTGGACTGACTGAATTCTGCCATTTTCTTCTATTTGCCTTCCCTTGGGCTTTCCTTACATCCTTACGGTGACAGCGTGGTGTTTCATATCATTCACACAGAATCACAGAACACTTGGGTTGGAAAGGACTGCAAGGATGATGAAGCTCCAACCCCCACCACAGCAGGGCCACCAACCTCCACATTTCACAGCAACCCAGGCTGCCCAGGGCCCCATCCAACCTGGCCTCGAACACCTCCAGGGATGGACGGGGCATCACAGCCTCTCTGGGCAGCTGTTCAGCCCCTCACCGCTCTCACAGCACACAACTTCCCCTGACATCCAACCTCCAGCTGCCCTCCCTCAGCTTCAAACCATCCCCCTCATCCTGCTGCCATCTCCCCTTCCCAACAGCTGACTCCCCTCCTGTCTGCAGGCTCCCTTTAGGCACTGCAGGCTGCACTGAGGTCACCCCGCAGCTTCTCTCCTCCATGCTGAACGAGCCCAGCTCCCTCAGCCTGTCTTTGCAGTGGAGGTGCTGCAGCCCCTGATCATCTTTGTGGCTCCTCTGCACCCTCTCCCACAGCTCCCTGTCCTTCTTGTGCTGGGGGCCCCAGACCTGTTAGAACAAAATGTGTTCTATCCATCAACCTGAGAAATGAGGCGACTGCTGCTGTGCGTCCCCAGTTCCTGCCAGTAGTGTGAGAAAGAAATGATTTTTGGAGACCAGATCTCCTGTGAAAAAGTGTAAATTTGCAATTGCAGTGGTGGACATCCTGCAAACAGGAGCACACAGCTGAAACCAAATCACAGCCCTGTATCCCCAGTGCCCCAACACCAACAACTCCTCCCACTTCCCCCTTATTGAGTACTCCAGGTTCACAATTTATCCAAGGCTTGCTATTGTATTTACAGCCTGATTCCATCAGCCTTTGATCTCTTCCTCACAATTCATTACCTCTTCTTTACTGTGTCTGCCCCATCCATCCAGGCTGGATGTGGCTCTGGGCAGCCTGGGCTGCTGGTTGGCGACCTGCACACAGCAGGGGTTGCAACCAGGTGAGCGCTGTGCTCCTGTGCAACCCAGGCCATGCTGGGGTTCTGTGATGATTCTGATTATGGCACCCTATGGCACCCTATGGATCTTTATGGCACCCTGTGGGTTCTCTGTGCAGCCTCGTCTGGTGGTCGGTGACCCTGCACACAGCAGGGGGTTGGAACTCAGTGATTATTGTGGTCCTTTTCAACTCAGGCCATTTTATGATTCTATGATCCCCCCAGTTACTGCATTACAACATGAGTCCCTGCCCAACTCCAGTTGCAGGTACAGATTATGCATAGATGGCCTGGATTTCCCATGTCCTTTATCTGGTGCCACTTGTGCTCCCAAACCTTGTGCTTTCAAACCTGGACAGACAGAGGTGCTCTCACTGCCAGGCTGGCCCGTGGGGACCCACTTACCTTTGTGCTCCAGACAGATGGAGCCATTCACTAACGAGAGGGCCTTCATCTTTGCTGCCCATTGTGCCTGCACACCTGCACACAGCTGCTGGCATAATGGGCAGGTGAGCCTTCAGAGCTGTAGTCATACATACAGGAAAATTTAGAGCCCCTCTCACAGGAAAGAGTTAAAAAATATTGGTAAGGTAGAGCAAATTGCATTGATTAGGTGCAGATAAGCATAAGTCCAGCTTTTTACATGAGACTGACTGTTTGAAGACCTTTAACCACTGATTTTCCACACTTGTTTTTCTGCAAATCGCCTAAACTTCTTTCCTGCCTTTGGTTCCTTCCTTAAGCACCCCATAATAATTCCTGCGTGAAACCAAACTGCTTTTCCCCTGCATCCCATAATGTGGCCAGCTCCTAGGCAGCAGCTGCCTTTCAGGTGATCTGGAGATCACTGCTCAGGGTGGGTTTCACACCCGGATGATGGGGTTGGTGGGCTTTGGGGACAGCTCTGGCAGGGGCCCATTGCAGCTCTTTGCTTCTCCTTCCTCAGGAGATCTCAGCTTGGGTTCCCATGGCGCAGCCCTGTGCTCTCCTGTTTGTGCAGATCTCGGGTGGGCTGATGGCCTGGGAGAAGCTTGGCGCTGTTATTTGGGGTCTGGTGCTTCCATTCTCTCTCTGAGCTCCTTTGTGGCTGTGCACATATAAAATACAGTTAATTGTTCAGTCAGTAGCTGTCAAGAGCCATTGCACAGTGCATCACAAACACAGAACTGACAGATCTCGGAACTGCAGCATCATAGAACGCTCCAAAGGTTGGCAGCTGCCCGCCAGGATCAATCACTGATTCCATCTCCTGCCTCCACTCAGGACCTCCCAAACCCCATGTTTGAGAGCAGTGTCCCAACACTCCTTGAGCTGCAGCATCCCAGGGCCATGCCCACTGTCCTGGCAGCCTGTTCCATGTCCACCACCCTTTTCCTAACCCCTAACACGACCCCCATCCAGCAAAGCTCCGTGCCATTCCCTGTTGCCATCACAAAAGAGCTGAAATCAGCTCCTCCATTCCCCGTTATGGGGAAGCCAACCACCAGAACCCCCACATCCCTTCCTATGGGGCTGCTCTCTGTCTCCTGTCTGCACATGGCAGAGCTATTAACAGAGAAGGAAGAGCAAGTGAAGGATAAATGCAGCTCCATAAGTCCTGTGATGGATAACCTTGTCGTTTGGGAAGAGTCTGTCTCTTTGTATGGAAGAAATAAGGGATGTCCCACGAGTCCTAGGAGCCGTATCTGGACACAGTAATGTGGAGACATACAGAACTTGAAAAATCAGAAATGATGTAATAATCGAGGGGAAAAAGAAAAAAAAAAAGGTGATGCTGGAGCTTGGACTGCGCAGGGAAAAAGGGAAAGCAATGTTCCGGTAGCTTCGGTATATGTGCTAAAATCAACAGGGAAATAAAAGCTGGACTTTCCCTTTGGTTTAAAAAAGGGGGAAAAGAATGGGTTAAAAAAGAAGAAAAATGAGAGCTTCAGCTGGAAAGGGAGAAGAGGGCATGGAATGAGGATCACACGTTGATGCTGGTTCTAAACTGGCCCCGTAATTTGGCTGTAGGTGGGTACAGAATGGGTGAAATAAGGTGAGGGGGTGAGATGTGCTGTAAAAGAACAGAGGAGGAGCGAGAAGGGCTGCAGGCAGCACAGGTAACTGAAGCTCACATTTGAGTAATGCTTAAGGGAGAGAAAGGACAGAGAGACAAATCAGATGTAACTGGGATGGGATGGAATGGACTGTGCTGCACAGCGGTGAGAGGCTGGGGAGGAAAGCCAGAGTGAATAAACGAGAGAATTCAAAGGAGCAGCAAAAGGGGATGCGATTTCAGGATGAACAATTTATCATTAGGAGGCAGAGCAGGAAGACGGTGAGAAGAGCAGGAGCTGGAAAATGATTGTAGGAGTTTGAAGGTAGTGAAACAGGCACTGGAAAGAGTGGCAGTGGGAAGAGAAGACTGAGAAGGAAGCTTACAGATGGAAAAGTGCAATGAGAATGGCTGCTAAAGGTGCCCACCTTCCCAGGGTGAGGGAAAATAAAGTTGGTTTGAAGAAAAAGAGAACTGAACCTACTTCAAATATATTTGAGGTCTTTGATAGAGAAAGAAACTAGCAAATTTTGCTGTGGAAAAGTGTTAGGAGTGATGCCTAAATGGAAACTGAACATAGAAAAGATGTTCTAAATGTTAGCAGGCTGCTCATAGTCGAGGTTAAAGGGTAGGAAACAAGTTTTAAGTGATTCTTGTCATGCGTGAAACTGGGCATGGCTGCGATCAGAGGAGGGTGAGAGCAGATTGCACCAAGACCCGAAACCTCGGAGGGGTTCTGATGCTGGGGGAATGGGTTGAGCTGGAAGAGGGGGCACAGAGAGGAGAAATTAGGCAGAAATTCTTTACTGTCAGGATGGGGAGGCACTGGAATGGGTTGCAGGGTGAGGCTGTGGATCTGTGGGTGTCCTTTCCTGGAAGCACTGGAGGCCAGGCTGGACGGGGCCGTGGGGGCTGCCGCTGCCTACAGCAGGGTGGAACAGCCTGCACTTAAAGGACATAGAATCATAGAATCACCAAGGTTGGAAAAGACCTCCAAGCTCCCCCAGTCCAACCGCTCCCCCATCACCAGCAGCTCCCACTGAACCACGGCCCTCAGCACAGCACCCAGCCTTGCCTTCAACACCCCCAGGCTCGGCGCCTCCCCCACCTCCCTGGGCATCCATTGCAGTGCTGCCCACCTTTCTGACACCTCATTCTTCCTCATGTCCAGCCTGAATCTCCCCTGCCGCAGCTTGAAGCCGTTCCCTCTGCTCCCATCACTGATGGCACGAGAGCAGAGGCCGCCCCCCAGCTCCCTGCAGCCTGCCTTCAGCAGCCATAGAGAGCAGTGAGCTCTGCCCTCAGCTCCTCTTCTCACCCTGAACATTCCCAGCTCCTTCAGCCTCTCCTCACAGCCCTGTGTTCCAGACCCCTCACCATTTCATTGCCCTCCTTTGAACACGTTCCAGGCCCTCCATGTCTTTCTTGCAGTGAGGGGCCCAAAACTGGACCCAGCCCTCGAGGTGCGGCCTCACAGAGCTGAGCACAGGGGATGGATGCTCCCCTCCCTGCTCCTGCTGGCCATTTCTGATGCAGGCCAGGCTGCCCTTGCCCTTCCTGGCCACCTGGGCACACTGCTGGCTCCTGTTCAGCCCAGCATCCATCAATACCCCCAGCTCCATTTCCTCTACGCCGTCCTCCAGCCACACCGCCCCAAGCCTGCAGCGTCGCCTGGGGTTGTTGTGGCCGAAGTGCAGGACCCGGCATTTGGCCTTGTTGCACCTCATCCCATGGGCTTCAGCCCAGCTCTCCAGCCTGTCCAGATCCCTCTGTAGGGCCTCGCTACCCCCAGGCAGATCCACACTTCCAGCCCATTTGGTGCCATCTGCGAATTTACTGAGGCTGCACTCGATGCCCTCATCGAGGTCATCAATAGAGATATTGCAGAGCCCAGGCCCAGCACTGACCCCTGGGGAACACCGCTCACAACCGGTCGCCGGCTGGATTTGACTCCATTCACCACCACTCTCTGAGCCCGGCCCTCCATGCAGCTCCTCACCCAGCCCACACTGCAGCCATCCAAGCTGCCGGCTTCTGCAGGAGATGCTGTGGGAGGCAGCGCCAAAGGCTGTGCTGGAGTCCAGGCAGAGCATCCACAGCCTTTCCCTCATCCACCAGATGGGTCATAGAAGGAGATCAGGTTGGTCAAGCAGGACCTGCCCTTCACGAACCCATGCTGGCTAGGCCTGATCCCCCTGCATGATCTCCCTCCAGACAATCTGCTCCATCACCTTCCCTGGCACCGAGGTCAGGCTAACAGGCCTAACCGGTCCCTTCCGACCCAAAGCATCCTGTAGTAACAGCCATGCAGAGGGAGCTGAGAGAAGGCTGTGAAGGAGCTGGAGTGAATGTCTGACCATTCATGAATCGGCTTAACAGGATTCTAGAGGGAGATGGGAAGAAGCAGCACAGTTCCCTTTTCCTTGGTGCATCGATTCTGCCTTTGAAATGCTTAATGCCGACTTTGTGTACTGATATTCCCCCTCAAGATGTACTAAAATCATCTATTGAGCCCAACCTTTTTCTTAATGCTTCAGCCCATTCTTTCTTTCTGCTGAGAATATTATGTTTATCTTCTTTCCGATGCCAAATTAATTTGCAAACTGTAATTATTTCATATCCTGGGAAATAATGTATTTGCGTGTTTGTCTCCTACAAACGTTTGTTTGTGTTTTATCCCTCTGCTTTGCTTCTTAGCTGTTTTAAGTCTAACCAGCTTCTCTTTTTTCTGTAGATGATCCTTCAAAAGAAAGTAAATAGCCACCCAAAGGAGCAAACGCAGAGAGGAGACACTGAATCGAGTCAATCTCAACCCAGACCATTCTTTCCATATTCCAATCCTGTGACTTTAACCACCAGGAAAAGCCAGGGAATGCCACCAGCACCTCTGCCAAAACATCCACACAGGGATGCTGGAAGCACAGCCAGTGTCCAGGCAGAGGTATCCAACCAGAGCAAAGACTTCTCAACATCAAAGATCGGTGTGATCTACAACCCCATCACACACTGTGCTGTTCAAAGTAGGTACTGCTGTGGTCCAGTGAATGCTCTCCTGAGAGAAAGGCTGAGGGAACTGGGCTGGTTGGGCTTGGAGAAGAGAAGGCTGCGGGGAGACCTCATGGTGGCCTTCAGTGCTTGGAGGGAGCGGAGAAACAGGAGGGGAACGGCTGTGTGTGAGGGTGGGTGGTGACAGGACAAGGGGGAATGGCTTTAAAGTGAGACAGGGGAGGTTTGGGTTGGATGTGAGGAGGAAGTTTTTGAGCCAGAGGGCGGTGAGGCACTGGCACAGGTTGCCCAAGGAGGCTGTGGATGCCCCATCCCTGCAGGCATTGGAGGCCAGGCTGGATGTGGCTCTGGGCAGCCTGGGCTGCTGGTTGGCGACCTGCACACAGCAGGGGTTGCAACCAGGTGAGCGCTGTGCTCCTGTATCTACCCAGGCCATGCTGGGATTCTGTGATTCTATGGGTCCCTATGGCACCCCACGCATCCTCAGGGCATCCCTATGGATCCTTATGGCACCCAATGGATCCCAATTGCACCCTATGGATTCTTAGGACACCCTATGGATTCTTAGGACACCCTATGGATCCTTATGGCACCCAAAGGTGACCTATGTATCTGCAGGGCCTCAAGGAAACCTATGCATCCTTAGCACAGCCTATGGATCCCTATGGCACCCAATGGATCCTTATGGCACTGCTATGGGTCCCTATGACACCCTATGGATCCCTATGGCACCCAATGGATCCTTATGGCACTGCTATGGGTCCCTATGGCACCCTATGGATCCCTATGGCACCCAATGGATCCTTATGGCACTGCTATGGGTCCCTATGGCACCCTATGGATCCCTATGGCACCCAATGGATTCTTATGGCACCCTATGGATCCCTATGGCACCCTATGGATTCTTATGGCACCCTATGGATCCTTATGGCATCCCATGGGTTCTCTGGGCAGCCTGGTCTGCTGGTTGGTGACCCTGCACACAGCAGGGGGTTGGAACTCCATGATCATCGTGGTCCTTTTCAACCCAGGCCTTTCTATGGTTCTGTGATTCATTCTGAATATTTCTGTCCTGTAAGAGGAAGGGAAGTGGCAAAGTCCGACTCTGTTTTTATATTCTGTCCCTACCTCAATGCATTCTTTGTCCTCCTGATTTTCCTACTTTTTCTCACGTTTTTCCTCCAGCAGGTAATGCAAATTCTGGTGCTGTCATCAGGAACCATTCTGCACCACCTCCTCAGCAGGGAAGAACTGCCAGCGATGGGAAGCAGAGGAGACAAATTATGTGGGCAAATGCAAATGCTCAGCTTCCTGCAAGCGTACAGAACCCTTCCCGTGTAAGTAGCAGTAATGCGCAGAAAGAAAGTTCAGTGACCAAAGATCATGATTTGTAACTCGGTACAGAAACTTGGATGAGAGGCAAGTGATGTCGATGAGTTATTAATTAATGAGTGCCCATCAGATGGAATGCAATTTCATTGCCTGTAGTGTCAGTCAAATGTACCAGTAGCTGAGTTCAGTAACACAGTTGGGCTTGCAGAGGATATGTGAACATCTGTACTGTAGTGCTGCATGGTGTGCTGAGTGAAATGTGTCTGGAAATCACCTGTCACAACTTGCTTGTAGATTCAGACAGGAGCTTTCATGCTCTGATCCTCAGCGCTGCAATACCTGCGTTCCCAATGTTTTGTCTGGTGCTGTAGTTTAAAACCCCGTGTGAAGGAATCACCGGGGGCAGAGGAGTGGCTTTCACCTTACACCTCCCACAAACCCAATGCTGACGGGTGGCTTCGTGAGCACAAACTTTTCCCTGGAATATTGAAGTCCAGGCATTCATGAGAACTGTGGAGTCACAGGATGGCTTGAGTTGGAAGGGCCACTAAGGTCATCGTTTCCAAGCCCCTGCCTGAGTCAGGCAGGACGTGAGGCTGCCCACGGCCCCATGCAGCCCAGCCTGGGGCTCCTCCAGGGCCGGGGAATCCACAGCCTCTCTGAGCCTCGCCAGCTTCTCAGTGAAAGATACGAACATCGTCATCTGTGGGTTCTGTGGGTTCTTGTGACTCACTGCCTGTCGCTGTAAGTGCCTGACAGGGAGAAGATCGTGCTGCACGCAGCCTGTGCTTTGTGTCTGTTCCCCAGAAGGCTCACACTGTCCACTGCCAGTGGCACTGGATGCCCATCAGCATTGTGACTGATCGTGTGTTTGGGAGGAATAATGGCATGCAGCAGTACAGGATGGGGGATGAGCTGCTGGAGGGGAGCTCTGAGGAGAAGGACCTGGGTGTCCTGGTGGACGACAGGTTGCCATGAGCCAGCAGTGTGCCCTTGTGGCCAAGAGGGCCAATGGCATGAGTCTGGGGTGCATTGCACAGAGCGTGGCCAGCAGGTCGAGGCGATCCTCCCCCTCTGCTCTGCCCTGCTGAGGCCTCACCTGGAGCACGGCGTCCAGTTCTGGGCTGCCCAGCACAAAACAGACGGGGATCTGTTGGGAAGAGTCCAGCGGAGGGCCAAAAGATGGTGAGGGGCCTGGAGCATCTCTGCTATGGAGAAAGGCTGAGTGAACTGGGTCTGTTCAGCATGGAGAAAAGGAGACTGAGAGGGGACCTGATCCAGGTCTGTAAATATCTGAGGTGTGGGGGGCAGCATGGCGAGGCCAGACTGTTTTCAGTGGTGAGTGGAGACAGGACAAGGGGAAACGGCTGGAAACTGCAGCATAGGAAGTTGTGCAGCAATGTGCGAAGGAACGGCTGTGCAGTGAGGGGAGGAGCAATGGGACAGGCTGCAGGGAGGGGGGGAAGTCTGTGGGTCCCAGTGTGTCTCTATGGGTCCCGATGTGTCTCTATGGGTCCCAACGTGTCTCTATGGGTCCCAATGTGTCTCTATGGCTCCCAATGTGTCTCTATGGGTCCCAACGTGTCTCTATGGTCCCACTGTTCACTGCAGCAGGCTGCCCAGGGAGGTGGTGGAGTCTCCTGCTCTGCAGATGTTCCAGACCTGCCTGGATGCCGACCTGTGCGACCTGCTGTAGGAACGGCTTGGGCAGGGGGTTGGACTCCATGAGCTCTGCAGCTCCCTTCCAACCCCTACAGTTCTGTCATTCTGTGATTCTGTGAAATGACGACTTTTCCATCTTTCTCAGCAGCAGCTGAGAAGTTCTGACATTCCAACTTGCTCCGCGCTCATTTTCAGCGCCCAGCCAGGCTCCAGCAACTCCTGTCCTCAGCCATTTGGGCAGTCTGAGTCATTGGCACACGATTAACCTTTATTCTGGGATTGGTGTCCGTCTGCAGCCTCCAGCTCAGACACTCACCAAGCCAGAAATTGATTGCCAGAAACCAGGAGGGGATTTTGGGGAACGATGGTCTGTTTTGTGCATTTATGTACAGCATTCACTACCTTTGGAAATAGTTACTACCCAAACAGGCCTTTTTGCTCCAGTGCCATTAGCTCATACTTGACGTTGCTATTCTAAAGCCTTTCTTCCTCATGCCATTTTCACCACATTGTCCTTAATGTTTGCTAGTTAACCTTCACGATGCCTTCTACTACTCAGGTGATGCAAATTCTGTGCTCCTTCTTTGTACTTCAGAAAGCTGTTTGCAGATTCCTAACTGCCTCGGCTTTTATTTCTCACACAGCACCCACGAAATACTCAACTCCACAGCAAAGACGTTCGCCCCCTTCAGAAATGCAGTAAAAAGATGTTCCATATGACCGCGAACGTGGGAGCTGCCGGCGATCCCAAGGCGTCCATGGGCAGTTATTCTCAGGCCTATGGAACCATATGCAAATCTGCCCTGCAGAGTCTTCCGATATCAAATTCCTCCCAACAACACGAGGAGCCAATATGGAAGAGTTCAACCCAGGCCTCGTCAGCCCCCTAACGAAGCCGGAACAGTGAATGGGAGCTCGGTACAGAAGGCATTTGTCCCAGCTGAACAGGAATTCACTGCTTGGAACAACCATACTGCTTTCCCTGGGACAAACCAGAAGGGAAAAGAGATAAATCCTTTTGCCTTCCAATCTTCCCAACTACTTGCTTCCATACCATGAGAGTTCTGTCCATGTTCCTTATTTTCGCTGCTGCAAAAAACCACAGAAGGCTGCAGTGTTCCACACCTGGCTGCCTTCAGACGCATCCACATTCCTTTGGTCAGAGGCACTGCCTCAATCCAGGCCCTTTTCGAGCAGGACAATTAACCATCTGCTTCCTGAAGATCAAGGGGGCTGAACTCCTCATCTTCATCTTCAAGTGTTTTATATCACGCTAATTGATGTATGACTCTTTCAGGGCAAGCGAATGAGCCTGAATAAGCAAAACAAGTGAAGATTACTTTCAACACAATCAAGTAGAAAAGCCTTTGAAGTGGGCTCTGCTAGAACGCTTCATGCTCTACCTACCACCTGTTCACAATAGAAGCGCTGCAACAATAAATCTTCCGTGTTGCACTACAAAAAAATGTGTATTTAATGGCTGTTTGCAGTCTGTAGAAGGGGGAAATACACAAGGGGTGTCCTGTTCGATATGTAAGATGATGGCAACTTCTCTTCTTTCAGAAAGCCAGAGATGCTATTGCTGCAGCACCATGAAGCTGTCACCGGGCAGCAGTGGGACTGCAACGTCACATCCCATAGTTTTCATTGGTCCTTTGCATTCTGAGTCCATTTACATAACGAGTCCATTCTGAAACTGGTCGAATGCTGATTCTTTATAATTCTTCTCATTTAATTTCTATAGGTCTCTATCTCGGAAACTGTACTTCACTTTTGAGAAGTTAGTGTTATTGGCTTTGGAGCTGTGGTTAAAGAGGGAATTCAGGCATTAAACTGCAAAGTGTGAGTAGTGCTGCCATTTTCCATTTTATGTTTTAGTACCTAAACACCAAAGTCTACGGTTAAATTAAAAAGAAAACAGCACCTTTACTTTTGGTATCCGGTCTGGTCACCTAAGTCTGGTAGGGGGTTGGAAATGCAGCTATATAAAACCCTATTTTATCCTGGTCTGTTCATAAAATAGGCAATTCCTGCTGTCTCTGAACAGCTGGTACAGCAAAGGGCAGGGAGAGGTCTGTGTGGGAGCATCCTACACAGCGTGCTGACTCTTGTAGTCTAAGCTGCCAGTTCCCATTCGCTGCAGCAGGAGCCTGGTGCTTATTTTAGGGTTGTGAGCGCACTGAAAGGGCAGCACCAACAGCTCGCAGGTCTCTTCCAGCCCCGTTGATTCTGTGATTCTATGATCTAATGCTCACTGTGAACAAGTCTCAGGTTGAGAAGTGATGGCCTATAGCACTACCTTTGTAAGAGTCTTAGAATGGCTTTTGTCATTGCCAACTGAATTATTCAGCTCTATGGAGAAAGACTTAGGGGTCCTGATGGATGAAAGCAGGATATAGAAAGGCCTGGGTAGAAAAGGACCATGATGCTCATCTGATTCCAGCCCCCTGTTGTGTGCAGGGTCACCAACCACCAGAGCAGGCTGCCCAGAGAACCCACAAGGTGTCACAGGGATCCATAGGGTGTCATAGGAACCCATAGGGTGCCATAAGGATCCATAGGATGCCATAGGAACCCATAGGATGCCATAGGGATCCATAGGATGCCATAGGGATCCATAGGGTGCCATAAGGATCCATAGGATGCCATAGGGATCCATAGGATGCCATAAGGACACATAGGGTGCCATAAGGATCCAGAGTGACATAGGGATCCATAGGATGCCATAAGGATCCATAGGATGCCATAGGAATCCATAGGATGCCATAAGGACCCACAGAGTGCCATAAGGACCCATAGGGTGCCATAAGGATCCATTGGATGCCATATGGACACATAGGGTGCCATAAGGATCCAGAGTGACATAGGAATCCATAGGATGCCATAAGGACCCACAGAGTGCCATAAGGACCCATAGGGTGCCATAAGGATCCATAGGATGCATATGGACACATAGGGTGCCATAAGGATCCAGAGTGACATAGGAATCCATAGGATGCCATAAGGACCCACAGAGTGCCATAAGGACCCATAGGGTGCCATAAGGATCCATAGGATGCCATATGGACACATAGGGTGCCATAAGGATCCAGAGTGACATAGGGATCCATAGGGTGCCATAAGGACCCACAGAGTGCCATAAGGACACATAGGGTGCCATAAGGATCCATAGGATGCCATATGGACACATAGGGTGCCATAAGGATCCAGAGTGACATAGGGATCCATAGGGTGCCATAAGGACCCACAGAGTGCCATAAGGACACATAGGGTGCCATAAGGATCCATAGGATGCCATATGGACACGTAGGGTGCCATAAGGATCCAGAGTGACATAGGGATCCATAGGGTGCCATAAGGACCCACAGAGTGCCATAAGGACACATAGGGTGCCATAAGGATCCATAGGATGCCATATGGACACATAGGGTGCCATAAGGATCCAGAGTGACATAGGAATCCATAGGATGCCATAAGGACCCACAGAGTGCCATAAGGACACATAGGGTGCCATAAGGATCCATAGGATGCCATATGGACACATAGGGTGCCATAAGGATCCAGAGTGACATAGGAATCCATAGGATGCCATAAGGACCCACAGAGTGCCATAAGGACCCATAGGGTGCCATAAGGATCCATAGGATGCCATATGGACACATAGGGTGCCATAAGGATCCAGAGTGACATAGGGATCCATAGGGTGCCATAAGGACCCACAGAGTGCCATAAGGACACATAGGGTGCCATAAGGATCCATAGGATGCCATATGGACACATAGGGTGCCATAAGGATCCAGAGTGACATAGGAATCCATAGGATGCCATAAGGACCCACAGAGTGCCATAAGGACCCATAGGGTGCCATAAGGATCCATAGGATGCCATATGGACACATAGGGTACCATAAGGATCCAGAGTGACATAGGAATCCATAGGATGCCATAAGGACCCACAGAGTGCCATAAGGACCCATAGGGTGCCATAAGGATCCATAGGATGCCATATGGACACATAGGTTGCCATAAGGATCCAGAGTGACATAGGGATCCATAGGGTGCCATAAGGACCCACAGAGTGCCATAAGGACACATAGGGTGCCATAAGGATCCATAGGATGCCATAGGGATCCATAGGGTGCCATAAGGATCCATAGGATGCCATAGGGATCCATAGGGTGCCATAAGGATCCATAAAATCACAGAATCCTAGAATGGCCTGGGTTGAAAAGGACCACGATGCACCCAGCCCAGGGCCATTGGTTGGAACTGGCTGATCTGTGAGGTTCCTTCCAACCGAAGCCCTTCTGTGACTATGATTCATTCAGCAATACTTGCACAGAGCCCACAGCAGCTGCTCCCAGCTCAGCACAGGAGATGAGCCATTCTGGTTCTGATCAGGAACACGTTTGTACACAGAACACCGTGCTGAGCAGGATCAAATCCTCCAACCCAAACAACCACAGCAGGATTCCACAGCGTTGGTCTAATCTGCCCTACAGAAATAATTGCATTCCCAACATCTCTTATAGAACGGCAGTGGAGCAGGTTTGTGAAGGGCTGGGGAAGTGAGAAATATTTGTATTACCCACACAGGGCTGGTGTATCACACACCATATGTGCATACACACACATACGATAGGATATAAAATACAGAGCAGGGCTCAGCTCTGCCTGCCTCATCTGACAGAGGTGTCTTTATCACCACAGCTCATTTTGGGACTTCTCAGCCAGCGGATCTGATTCAGTACTAAAATGATGTGTGTGCAGCCCTGATTTATGAATTTGCACCTATGTCACTGATTACGGTTTGTTTCTGAAACAGAATACATTTGTGTAATATGGAATATTAATAAGAACGCCACTTCAGCCTTTTTTTTTTCCCAATTTTGACTGGTTCTTCCCTATTTTTCCTCTCAAATTTACTTCTAGGTTGAATTTCTTATATTGAAACAATAAGCTCTCTTGATTCTTACAGTTGTTTGGTGTGTTTTTTTTACCACCATCAGTGGCAATATGGAGATGGGGTGATTTTCTTTCATGTCTTCATTCCTAAGTTTTCCAATAAGCAGAAAATAGGCACAGTTACAGCCATGCAGAGCACGTAGAGCCTGCTGCCCTGGGAGCTGGTATCCAAAAGAGAACTCCTGCAGTCTCAAAGTTACCTTCAGGATCTGGAGCAGCCTCCATCCACCAGCCGTGTGCCTCGATAGGTTTGCTGAGCTTGCAGCTCAGTTGAACATGTAACTCCAGCTGATGGAAACAAGAAATCCAGAAGCCTGTTTCCGTGCGTGATCGTTTTTCTCTCCCATCTCCTTAGCCAGGAAAAATAAAGGAAAACCAAGTCAGATCCCAGTTTGGCAATCCTAGGGGACGCCACGTGGGAACAGCCCAAGAGGAAGAGGAAACTCGGGCCGTGTGTCCGATTGCTTCCTGGCCCTTCTGTCCATCACGACGGCGCGACACAGCGCGTCACACAAACCTGTTGGTTTGTAATTGCAATGGCTGACTGATCCGGGCTGTGCTCAATACTGCGTGCTCAGCTTGATACCAAGGCCCTGCAAGGAAGCTGTGAGTAAAGCACTTCTGATCTTGGACCAAAGATGCTAACAGCCCTCCCCCCCTTCTTTCAATGAACTTAGTGGAATTTCACAGCAATTCTCCACTCATGGATCAGGATTACATAAATCACTACTTAACTATAATGGCTGAAATTCTCCACTCAGCTGAAAAGCGTGATTATGATTCTGAAATCATCTCCTTCTCCATTAATTAATCGTCACTTTCCTCTTTTATGGCCGTGCAGCTGCTATTCTCAGCTCGGTCTCCAATGCAATACTTCCATTACACACAAGAAAACAAACCAATAATAACACTTAACCAGCAGGCTGATAAAGCAGTAAGCAGGAAAACTGGGCTGACCAGACCACAGTCACACCTAAGGGAAAATAAGTTACTCGTGTATTTTTCTCTGTCATTCTTCAAGAAGGGAGCTCCCAAATCAGCTCGGCCATCAATGCAAAGTAACGAAACCTGCACCTGAGAAACCACATATGAGCTTTGCTTTCACTGACTGAACTCAAGCACTGGTTTTTCTTCTTATTTTTTTGCTTTTTCTCTCCTTACTGAAAGTGGAATTATTTTTCCTGACCACTGGGAAGACTCCCTGGCCGTTAGATAAAGAGACATCGTTATTGTAAGCGTCTTGGCAATTTAATAATTTTATTTTAAATATACTGTAACAAGGTTTCCTGTTACCACACGACTCTACGGGGCCGTCTGTGCCCTAGGAGTCACGCTGAACACATCCCCCTTGCCAGCCTCGAAGAGCTTCGCAGCCGTCATAAATGTGTTTCTCCCTCATTGCTTTGCCAGTCAGTGACGATAGGGAATTAAACAGCGCTCCTATGATCATTTTTTGGTCTTGAAGGTCCCCAGGATTTTGGGCATGAACTTTCCCATCTTCTTGTCCTTGGCGTCCGCGTCGTACTCCTCCTCGCTCTGGCTCGTATGCTCATCCTTTTTGCAGAAGACCTCAAACCTGCTGTACACCCTCTTTTCCTTCCGCATGTTCTCCATCTTTTTCAGCAGCGTGTCTCTGTCCTCCGACGGCTGCCGCTGGACGTTTCGCTTCTGGCTCCCAAAGCTCTCCGACCTGTGGATGTTGCAGCTTTTCTCCTTCTCGGCTTTCCTTTCCAAGCTCATAGTTGACTTAGAAAGGTCGGGATTGCTGGTGGATGGCAGCTGCTTGGCCAGTTCAGCTCTGTTCTTCTGGCTGTTGGCAGAGATTTGTTCCAAAATCACCTTGGTGTCATCACGGAGATTGCTGCTGTACAGAATGTTGGCTGTGGACGAAGGAAATCTGCCCTGCGTCGGTTGGCTGCTTTTGGGAGGAAGCGGCGTTGCAAATTTGTGGTTTTTTTCTTCCTCCACCACCATTTCCTGACAGTCGCCTATGGAAGATCTTTTGAGACCCGTGGGCTGTTTGTCAGACTTTCCGACCTCGCAACTGGGTTCCTCCTCCAGTTTCTTTTCACCTTTCGGGTTCAGAAACTGCTTCAACCGCAGGGATCCTTTCCTTAAAAACTCCATTGTGTTTTGTTCCTGTTTTGAACACTCTTCCTCGGATTTATTGAGGGAGCTGTCAGATCCTGGACCTTTAGACAGGTTTTCGATGACCGATGTGGTGCCCATCCTCCCCTGTGGTTTCTTCAGTTCTGCACTGACCAATTTTTCAGCATCTTCCTTGAACGTCACTCGTTCCTTCTTTTCTGGAAGAGCCAATTTCTGAGTATCTCCTACAAATATAAGGCTCTCCTTTTCTGGAAGAGCAGGTTTATTCTCTATAGGGTAAAACCGAGATGACAGTTTGTCCACTTTAGCGCCCAGGTGTGCTAAGGGATCTTTACTCAAAGCATCAATGAGCTGGGGGGCCGACGAAGCCATTCCAAACGCTCTGTCAGTCTCCCCGTGCATCTTGTAAGAACTGCAGGAGTCTTTGGACTCCAGTACTCTACTCTCCAGAATCTTGTATTGCACGGATTTGGTACATTTCTTCTCCGTGTTCTGTGATTCCTCCTGGAGAAAACTGGAAACGGCTTTGGTGTGAGTGACTGTAGCTCGCTCGGCGTCTTTGCCCACAGCTTTGTACTTCTCTAACAGTTCCGCCACTTTCGACGAGGCGGCCGTCTTTATGGTTTCATTGTCCTTTGTCAGTTCATTGGACACTTGTTCCTTGTGGATCATCTGAACCTTCTCTACTGTTGCGTTAGGCTGATCTAACTTGGCAGCGTTGAAAATCAGAGAGGACCTGAGTCTGGAGCTCCTTTGGATCAAGGGATTTATTCTGGACCTGAAGGCGTCTTGTTTCATCAGAGGTGTTTCTTCACCTCCTCTTTCAGGATCCGCAAATTCTTTGGCGTTTTCAACCCCCAGTGACTTGCTATTAAAAGACACAGGGGATTTGAATGCTGGGATGAGGTCAGTGGGGTGCTTTGCGAGGGGATCCCCAAGAACATCATTATAGGCTTCCGATTCCATGGGCATCGGGAGACCTTCTTCTGGTTCCGACTGGTAGGCGCTGAGGTACGAAGAAATCCTCCAGTTGCGTAAACCTGTTCTATTTTCCTGAGTGTTCTTGTCCTGATCCTGGTCCTCGTCTTTGTCTTGTAAGAACAGGCGCTGTTCCAGGCTTTGCTTCTGCGTAGGAGAAGTCTGGCAAATAAACTTCTGTCCTATATTCTGCCTTCTCAGCATCATTCCCATCGGGCCGTTGCCTGCAGGGTTCAGCTGATCAGAGCCATGTCTCACTTCCCTGGAAGAATTCGAAGGCACGTAATCCAGCCTTAAGGGGAAACCCTCCTGTGGGAAACCGGATTCAAGTTCGGGGTATCTGGGTCCCTCTCCATAGGGAAGAGGCCCTCCCTCTTCCAATTCATTGAATCCTGGCCTCCCACCTCGTATTCTGTCGAAGAATCCCTGGGGTCTGCCAGAAAGGTGGGGGTGTTCAAACTGGTACTGGTAGAACTGATCCTTCTGAAAATGACTGGACTGGATTTTAAATTCGTCCATGTTGTTCACGAACATCTGCCTGGCATATTGCTTAGAAGAAGCAAAATTTTCAAACGTTCCTTCTGCAAAACTGTGTCTCTTAAAAGCATCCAACTCCAGCTGCTTGGAACGGAGAAAACCCCTGACGGGATCCATCTGAGCATTCTCCATCTCCACCTTTTTGTACATTCGCATGGCTGACCCCTCCACGGTATGGCGCAACAAATCATCGCGCCGGAAGTTGGACAGGAAGTACCGGTCTGGATCAACTCTGTCCATGAAGGAGGGAAAAAGGTTGTCGTCCCTCTGGAACATGAGGGGTGCTTTTTTAGGAAAGAAAGGCATGTTGTTGCCGAAGGGAGTCATGGCAAAGGGGTTCTCTGCCTTGGCCAAGACGTTGGCTGGAGGAACGAGAGGTTCTGACTGTGCGAACAAAATTCGGAACTCTTCATCGAAGCTGGCCACCAGCTCGCCCTGGAAGATGTGCGCAATGCTCCTGTGAATCTTCTCAAAAGACCACATGAAGCTACAAAGAGAAGCAAAGATGGCGTCAGCATCAAGAAACTCCGCTGCACTACTCCGTGTTCCACCGTTTGCTCGTCTGAAGAAATTCACCCTGACTTTCAGCACTGGCACAGGCTGCCCAAGGAGGCTGTGGATGCCCCATCCCTGCAGGCATTGGAGGCCAGGCTGGATGTGGCTCTGGGCAGCCTGGGCTGCTGGTTGGCGACCTGCACACAGCAGGGGGTTGGAACTGAATTATCATTATGGTCCTTTTCAACCCAGGCCATTCTAGGATTCTATGATTCTAGGATTCTATAATCCTATGAGTATAGTGTAGTCTTTAATAAAGAAAACATGGGAAATGGGTAATTCCATACATCTAACTTGCACTTGAAACATAAACACATACTCCTGGGTCTCTTTTAACTGTTCTGGTTTGGACCGGGTTGTTTGTTTAGATTTGGTGACACTTCTTTTGAGTTAGGTTTAACACTTCCTTGCTTGGAGCAGCTGAAACTGCATTACCCAGCAAACAAACAGTCTATTATTCGGTGACACCGGGCCATTAACAGCACAGGGCTTCTCACCTGTAGTTGCCACTCAGCACCACCATGCAGTCCACCAGGAGGAATTTCTCCTTCACGTGTCCTTTGAAAGACATCCCCGTGCGGCAGTAGTAGGTTGGGCCAGAAACTGTTCTCACCCTCAGGAACTGCAAACCAGACAAGGCTGTTACTTCCCTTCCCCCTCTTTTTTCCCCTTACTCTCTTAACGTCCCTCCTGCCACCATTCTTCCACTCCAGCACTAGCCGTTCTGTCTGCATGCACATGGATAAGCCACCCTTTTTATCAGCGTGCCCTTTGCCTTCAGGCCTACACTGTGCCAGGTCTCCTGGCTTCATGTACGTATTTCTCTATTCTCTGGCCCCGGTTTCCCCTTTCTCAGGTTCTTACTGTAAGAACAGCCCAACGTTCCCCAGAGGTACCTCTCTCAGGATGGGAATTGCGGGACGGGTTGGTCTTTGGTTTGCTCACCTCCACATAGTTCAGATTGACTCTGCATTTAGCAGCTGTATCAAGGAAAAGCTGAGAGTTCATTTCATCGAGCAAGATGTACACGGGGACTCTGCGAGCAGCAGCATCCAGCACTTCGAACAGCAGATCCACGTCAGTGAAAATGTCCATGACTATGGCTACCACCTAGGAAAAGAACACAAGGAAGTCTTCAGAGATCTGTGCCTGCCTGCGGCCGCCCTGCTCATGTTCCCCAGCACACAGCATTCCAAAGCTGCACTGTTAAACTGACTGCATTTCAACTTCCTATTCAGTGGGCTCCAGAACTGGAAATAGGTTTCCTATGTGACGCGCGCATCGTGGACATGAGCTGCAAAGTGAGCGAGGATCCTCGCTGTCGCTGACCATTCCCTTATTCCTCATTAGCCCAGTGCTCACAGCAGGCATTTTTTGCTCACAGAACCACAGTGGCAGGTATCACTGACCTGCCTGGCCTCTACCCCCTCACTCCCTCCAGCACATTTGTCATTTTTAAATACGTTCCTGGCCAATGTTGAGTCAGCCACTGCAGAACCGCCTCTAGATGTCGCCAGTACCTTCTGAAGTAGCTTTTAATTGCAGCTTTGACAGTAGCTCCAGAAAACAAGGCATACGAGTGTCAGCTGGGGGATCCGGGGCTGCTTAATCCAGAGGGAAACCCCTCATCTCTCTCCACAACTACCTGAAATGATCCCGTGGTTCAAAGCTCTGTAGGATTTCCCTGTCCTCCCCAGCTCTTATCAGTGTATAACAATACTCCATGGTGGGAAGGAGTAATGAAGATGCAGCGAAACTCATCTCAGCGTTACCCACTGAAAAGCCACAATGGGCACACACTGAAATGCAGGATGTTGCACTTGGACAGAAGAGAAACTTCTTACTATAAGGGTGACGAAAGATTAGCAACAGGGTGCCCAGAAAGACAGCAGCCTCCACTCCTGGAGACACTGGAGGAAAAGCCCTCAGTAACCTTCTCTAATTGACTCTGACTGAGCAGAGAGGCTGGACTGGACGAGCTCCAGAGGCCCCTTTCTAACCTCGGCTGCTCTGTGATTCTCTGTTCTCTTGGTGTACTTCACTGTGGCCTTACACAGTTCTTCTCGAGCCCAGAGAACAGAGGCCAGCTTTGATGAAATAAACAGCTTCAGAATCAACCTCCTTTTCTGTCAGGTCCCAGAGAACATTAAGGAGCCCAGCAGAGGATACGACGCGTCCTCTCACACGTTTACAGTCTCTCTCTGCTCTCAGACTCCCTGACGTCTCACCTGCTGAGCAGCTCGAATCATCCTGCGAGCCTCTTCCTTGATGCTGGGGTTGTCGGGGGGCGGCGGTTGCACCAGGGTTGTTACTTCTGTTCCCCTGAACCCAAAGACCATGGGCCAGCCCAGGTCGAGCTCCGGAACGGCGAGGTCTGAGTTCATGGGCCAGTACGTCCCGGAGGATCCATCCACGTCGTTGTCCCCCGCCGCGTCTGCGTTACCTTCCTGATTGGCATACTGGGGCTTCTGAAGGTTCTGTAGGATGTGATCCACCTCCGAGTTGCAAAGGAAATCGGGGGCTGCCTCCTCTGCCAGAAAGCGTTCGTAACTTTCTTTGCCCTCTTCGGTGAGTATATCCAGAGCCAGGCGGTAATACTCCTTGTAGTGGGGGGGAAGGTAGTTAGGGTCAAGCGGGTTGTCCCCCTGCGAGGAGCTTTGAGATCGGCGAGCCATGGGGGTAGGGAGAGCTGTAGGAAGAGAAGAGCCAACAGTGAGAACGGCCAGAGCCACAGCAGCAGGCCCACTTCAGTGACACAACCGTCCTCATAAATGGTGAAAGCTCAGGGGCCACGATGGCAAAATCAGAAGAGAAGAGAAGAGAATGCTGGGGAATTGGAAGGGAGCTCAGGGATCATCAGGTTCCAGCCTTGCTGCCACAGGCAGGATTGCCAAACACTAGATCAAATAGTAGCACAGGGTGCCCAGGACCCCATCAACCCCACCCAACCCTATCAACCCCATCCAATCCCATCCAACCCCACCCAACCCCATCCAACCCCATCCAGCCCCATCCAACCCCGTCCAATCCCATCCAACCCCACCCAACCCCATCCAACCCCATCCAGCCCCATCCAACCCCATCCAACCCCATCCAGCCCCATCCAACCCCATCAACCCCATCCAACCCCATCCAGCCCCATCAACCCCACCCAGCCCCATCCAACCCCGTCCAACCCCATCCAACCCCATCAACCCCATCCAACCCCATCCAGCCCCATCAACCCCACCCAACCCAATCCAACTCCATCCAGCCCCATCCAACCCCATCCAGCCCCATCAACCCCATCCAGCCCCATCCAACCCCGTCCAACCCCATCCAACCCCATCAACCCCATCCAACCCCATCCAACCCCATCCAGCCCCATCCAACCCCATCCAACCCCATCCAGCCCCATCCAACCCCATCCAGCCCCATCCAACCCCATCCAGCCCCATCAACCTGGCCTTGAACACCTCCAGGGATGGATGGGGCATCCATAGCCTCTGGGCAATCTGTTCCAGCACCTCAACACCTTCTCAGTGAAAAAATTCCCCAATACCTACCCTAAATCTTCCTTCCTTCAGTTTAAAACCATTCTCTCTTGTCCTGTCACTATCTACCCATGTATAAAGTTCCTGTTTATGATCTCCCTCAGCATACTGAAAGGCCATAGTGAGGTCACCCCGCAGCCTTCTCTTCTCCAGGCTGTACAATCACAGAATCACTGAATCACAGACTCACAGAATCACAGGGGTTGGAAGGGACCTCCAGAGACCATCGAGTCCAACCCCCCACCAAAGCAGTTCCCTACACCAGGTACAAGCCCATTTCCTTCAGACTGCCATCACAGTAGAGGTGCTCCAGCCCTCTGACCACCTTTGTGGCCCTCCTCTGGACCCTCTCCAAAACCTCCTTATCTTTCCTGCCTTGGGGACCTCAGACCTGGATGCAATCCTCCATCTGGGGCCTCAGGAGGGCAGAGCAGAGAGGCACCGTCACCTCCTTTGCTCTGCTGGCCACTCTTCCGATGCAGCCTGGGATATTATCGACCTTCCAGGATGCAGGCACACAAGGCTGGCTCACTTTTTCATCAGCCAGGACCTCTCAGTCCTTCTCAGCAGGACTACTCTCAAGGAGTTCTTCCAATCTGTATCCATATCTGGGATTACCAGAAAGTTTATTCACAATTAATGCTCACCTTAAAGCAGGCAAAGGTGGCAATCACTGCAGAAATTTAATGCAGTTAAATGTTTGGGGGCAAAATCAGAAACAAATCAATGAGGGCACTGCAGTGATGAACAAAAACGATGCGTGGGCATCCGGGCCAGAGATTGCTCAAAGCTAAGCTAACATTTGTCTTTTATTTTAATCTTCTAATATTTTTTTTCTGAAAAAACTGTGCTGCTGGTTATTATCTGAACGCCACTGAAGCTCATTTCCAAATGCAAAATAATAATAATAATTAAAAAATGACTGTGCATAATAGAGTAGGCAGTGCAAACGCACGTGCAGGTCTACAAATGCCCCCACCGAATCCTTAGAAACTGTTTTAACATCACCTCAGTGTGGGAAGAGAAGCACGGCCATAAGTGGGATGCAGGCAAGTTTAAGGGCACCACACTGCTGTGTGCTCACGAGTCCTCATGAGAGCCATGAAGAAATAAAGGCAAGGGCAGGATTCTTCTTCAGTCTCCTGGAGTTAAGGTTGGGAAAACCCGGGCTGATTGATTTGGTGTTTTACAGTGAGGCCTGCAGGGAAGCTATCACTCCAGACTCGAGACAAACCTGATTTTAAGCAGATTTTGAAAGGAAAGTTGATCGTGGCAGAAAAGCAACTCACGTAATGGGATCCCGCTGAGCTGAAGAGAGCTCCAAAGCTCTCTGGCTTCCTACCCTGCACTATAATGCTTCCATCACTGACATCCACAGAGCCTTCCTCGCTGTTAGAAGAAAAGAGCTTGGCAGTCCTTGACTGCTTGCGTCAAGCTGCCTTCATAGGGATGCTGAGCACAGAGGGTGGAAGGAGCTCCTGTTTTCGGTAGCATTCAATACAGAAATGATTGCCGTGGTTGCAGGAGGAAGAAAAAGAGGCTTCAGGACTGTCCTGTAAAATAGTGAGCACTTACATACCTCCCTTTTGCTGTGCTCAGGTCTCCTCACCTGCTCTTGGCTGTGCTAAAGTGTCTCAACCCCTCATTTCAAGGAAATGCTCTCAGGGTTCAACGGCTTTCTTGGACTGAAGGCCTTTCCTGGATTCACAGACTTCCCAAACCAGCCCACAACACCAAAGCAATGAAATCACAAACACTTCACACAGCACCATCCTCACTTCTCTTCTCTTCTTTGACATTCCCCACTTTGGTGACACAAAATCCTCAGTCACCCCATTCTGCTGGGACGTCACGCAGGACCCTGCGCCCCCTGGAGCTCTGCAGCTCCGCAGGGTTCCTGGGCTGTGCTGGAGGCCACGCTGTCCAACCTATCCAGAATAATCCATAAAGGGGGGAACAGTCGTGCAGGTGAAATGCCTGGCAATGCTGGCTTGAGCTGAACAGAAACTGCGAAGACAAAGGAGGCAGAGAAAACAGAGGAGCCTCACGATATTGACTTGACAGTAAAAACGGCAAGGAGAATTGAATGCTGATAAAGTGATCGAGCAACCTTAATTCTGTATTATGGCAATGAATATTTCAGTGCTGTCATAAACCAAGAAGGCAAAAAAATGGATATTAAAAGGAGAAATGTCAGCTAATCTGAAATTATTTATTAAAGAATACGGGTTTAGTGGGAACTTAAACCTGGACATGCTGCAAATGTGAAAGGCTCATCCTCACATCTAAGAAGGCTGTTATGAACGCCAAGTACAAATCTTTAGCCCGGAGAAGAGGTCCATACAGTGTGAGCAGGACAGATGGCTGTTTTCTCCTTACAAGAACTGAAAGGCTTTCAAATGAAACGAGCAGGCAGTGGTTTCAGACTAGACAGCAGGAAAGCTTTCTCAAGCTCTTACTGCGCAGAATGCCTTCCCAAAGGAAGGGCACCTCCACAGATGGAAAGAAAATCCTCTGAAGCCATTAAAGGTATCGCTGCGGACCACAAGAATCTCTGGGGAAGCATTGCCACTCTTCCCTATGCATCCCTGCTCGCCACACTTGGTAAGGAAATACCAAATTGATATCATAGAACCACAGAACGGCCTGGATTGAAAAGGACCACAGCACTCATCTCAGCCTCTGACCGTCAGTCTGATGGGAGGCACTGCTTCTCGTCTGGCTTTGGCTGTTCTGTCACTTCCAGCATCACTGCATCCTAGGATGAAGAACTGTTTTCACTTCAACGCAGCACCCAGCTACACTGAACGCACGTATGGCTCTACCTACACCTCTGAGTCTCATCCCAATGCAACTAACATTTCACCAGGATTTACAGTTCCCGATTGCTGACAAAGGCCAAGTGTCTCTGAGTCAAGAACTAATTAATGAATAAAATAGTTTCAGACAGGTCTTTTCCAAACTAAATTCCCACTAATGACTAAACTGCAGAGCGAAAAAACAGTTGGATTCATCCCTATGCAAATCGTGAGCTGCTGCTATTAGCAATTCTGCCTCTCATAAACGGTGGGTGTGTAAGTTGGCACTTCCATAAGGAGGTCAGCTCACCGGTGAGCCATGTGTGCATCACAGCAGCCGCTGCGTGAAGCTCAAGCTGATAAGCACTGCTGGACACCCGTGCAGGGGGAAATGGGTACATGAGGCAGGGAAACAAATATCCAGGTGTTATATCCACTGAATGATGACGATGGCACAGTTTGGCTGTAAGCGTGGTATCGATGCTGGTGCTGCAGTGGCTGAAGTGGCACTGGGGGGGTAAGGAGGGGACAATGGCAGCAGGAGACGGCAATGCTGCCTGGGTGAGGGGATGTCAGCTGAATAGCTGCAGCCTGGGGAGGGGAGAGAGTGCCGACAGCTGGACAAAAGGACATGCTCCTCTCCCTGAGAGCAACCCTGCAGGGAAGGACTGGGGGTCCTGGTGGATGGGAAGCTGGACGTGAGACAGCAGTGAGCGCCTGCAGTCCGGAAGGCCAACCGTGTTCTGTGCTGCATTGAAAAAGGGGTGGCCAGAGGGACAGGAAGGTGATTGTCAGGTGTTTGTTCCCCTCTAGACAGCTCTTGTGAGGCCCCGTCTACAGGGATCCTTGAGGTCCCTTCCAACCTGGGCTGTTCTGTGATTCTGTTGTGGATGCCCCATCCCTGCAGGCATTGGAGGCCAGGCTGGACGTGGCTCTGGGCAGCCTGGGCTGCTGGTTGGCGACCTGCACACAGCAGGGGTTGCAACCAGGTGAGCGCTGTGCTCCTGTGCAACCCAGGCCATTCTATGAGGGAAACTGCCTGCTTTCTCCAAGTGTCCATACTGGTCAGCACCAAGATTCGCTGGGCCCATGTATCTCTGGTGGGCAACAAGAAGTGCCTGAGGAGGCAGCTGTGAGCAGGAGGGACAGGCAATGCTTTGTCAGAATCCTTTCCCATTCTCTAACCATCTGTGGCTGGAAAGGCAGGGCAGGAAATAAAGGAAGGCTGAGCAGGGCTGTGTTTGCAATGGAGGAAGCCGCTGAAGTCACCTCAGGCCTTCTGGTTGTCAATATGAACCAGCAAGAAGTGAACAACTGAAGAAGTGCATTTCTGAAAATGCAAAATCGTATTCATGTTCTTCTTTAAGTCTTTGGCTTAAGGCAAACACAGAGCTGGAGGAATTCCTGTGGGATTGAATACAGAGATCACAGCTGAGGTAGGACAGCAGCCCAGGAGGGTTTGGAAGGAGGCTGATGAGACAAACAGGGACAGACATCTGCACCCAGTTGTGCTGCCGCAGCAAAAACAGCCTTGCAGGAGGGCGTTGGCTCCGCACATACGTGTTGGAAGCCGTCATTTCTCTGCGTGCACTTTAAGGAGTGTCAGCTTAGGCTGGGAAAGCCACGGGGTGCCTGCTGGGCTCTGTGGGCTGGGCGCAGGGTGCGGTGCGGCCGCAGGGCAGGCGGCGAGCAGGTTTGTCAGCACAGTCTGGGACGTCGAGCGGCCATCGGCCGTCCTGCTGCTCAGCACACGGCATCACCGCCCGGCAGCAGGGCAGGCAGCTCGGTGCTGACCTCAGGGATGGGAGCTGTGGGGCTGAGGTGGGGCCGGGGAGGAAGGGAGGCGGTTCCCCCACGTCACCTTTACCTGTGAAAACAGAGCCAGAGGGCTGCAGCAAACACCCGAACTGGATCGCACCGAACTCCGGTCCTGCGGCCGAGTAACCGGGCTGGAAAATCTGCACCGTCACCCTGCTGGGCTACGGGGTGAGAAGTGGGGAGGGAGATGCCGCGTCCTCTTCCAGGCAGCTCCTTCTCGGAAGGCAGTGCTGAGGAAGCACCATCAGACCCTGCGTGCGGAGCAGCCGCCGTCTGCCGAGCGTGCCATTGCTGTGCCTGCCTGCTAAGGCTCTGCCATTCAGCTCCGCGCGTCCTTCAGGTGCTGCCGGTATCTTCAAAAGCAGAGGCACAAATCTGAGAACTGTGGAGAAAAAAAAAAACAAACAAACAACAAACACAACAGAAGTTATGGATCCGCTGCTATAAATGCTTTTTTGCATCAGAAACAGTGTTGCAAGCAGGAGCAGAGAGGTGATTGTGCCCCTGTATTCAGCACTGGTGAGGCCGCACCTCGAGGGCTGTGTCCAGTTTTGGGCCCCTCACTGCAAGAAAGACATGGAGGGCCTGGAACGTGTTGAAAGGAGGGCAATGAAATGGTGAGGGGTCTGGAGCACAGGAATGTTCAGGGTGAGAAGAGGAGCTGAGGGCAGAGCTCACTGCTCTCTATGGCTGCTGAAGGCAGGCTGCAGGGAGCTGGGGGGCGGCCTCTGCTCTCGTGCCATCAGTGATGGGAGCAGAGGGAACGGCTTCAAGCTGCGGCAGGGGAGATTCAGGCTGGACATGAGGAAGAATGAGGTGTCAGAAAGGTGGGCAGCACTGCAATGGATGCCCAGGGAGGTGGGGGAGGCGCCGAGCCTGGGGGTGTTGAAGGCAAGGCTGGGTGCTGTGCTGAGGGCCGTGGTTCAGTGGGAGCTGTTGGTGATGGGGGAGCGGTTGGACTGGGGGAGCTTGGAGGTCTTTTCCAACCTTGGTGATTCTATGATTCTAGGATTCTATAAACCTCAATGCTCGGAGCTGCAAGGACAGAAGGACCGTCCCCAACAAGTGGGTACCATGAACTGGGAGCAGCGGTGTCTGAGCGTTGTGCTGCTCCCAAGGAGAGGCTGAATGCTGTAAAAATGAGCTCTTTTCCCTCCAAAGTCGTCAGATTACCAGAACGGAAGGGTGAGGAAATCCCAAAGTCAACACACTTTCAGGATGCTTCCCCAATCCCCTCCTTGCAAATCAGTCCCACAGCAGAACGGCTGTTTGGAAGCAGGTGACACAAACCCTAAGTAGGAGTATTCTTAAATATCCTGCAGCTCTTAGGAAAAAAATAATGGGATTCTGGAGAGCGAAAGCAGCAGGGCAGTTCTTGGGAGCTACCTGGAAGGCATTCAGTAGGATGGGGTCCTATTGCACAGGCATTTCAACTGCTGGTATATGAGAAATGGAACAAGTGTCTGCACCTCGTGGTTGTGCTGAATGGAAAACGGACTGATACAGACTGAGAGTGTATCACAGAACCCCAGCATGGCCTGGGTTGCACAGGAGCACAGCGCTCACCTGGTTGCAACCCCTGCTGTGTGCAGGTCGCCAACCAGCAGCCCAGGCTGCCCAGAGCCACATCCAGCCTGGCCTCCAATGCCTGCAGGGATGGGGCATCCACAGCCTCCTTGGGCAACCTGTGCCACTGCCTCACCGCCCTCTGGCTGAAAATCTTCCTTCCTCCTCATATCGAACCTAAACCTCTCCTGTCTCACTTTAAAACCATTCCTCTTGTCCTATCGACAGCCTCAAGAGCAACTGGTTGTTTATATAAGGAAGGATTACCACAGTCTTTGGGCCCAATGGAAATTGGAAAGGGTTGAAGTTTCTGTATATGAGCAGAAAAAGCTCGAGTAAATGAGCATAATAATAATAATACTCTGATTGAGGACTACAGGCTTTACCCACTGGCACAGGTTGCCCAAGGAGGCTGTGGATGCCCCATCCCTGCAGGCATTGGAGGCCAGGCTGGATGTGGCTCTGGGCAGCCTGGGCTGCTGGTTGGCGACCTGCACACAGCAGGGGTTGCAACCAGGTGAGCGTTGCAGGCCTTTGCAACCCAGGCCATGCTGGGGTTCTGTGATCATTCTATGATTATGGCTCTTTGTGGATCTGTATGGTACCCTATGGATCCCTATGGCACCCTATAGATCCCTATTGGCACACTATGGATGAGCACTGTGGTCCTTTTCAACCCAGGCCATTCTAGGGTTCTGGTTCTACGATTCAGGAACTGAACCACACGCACTGCTATCATTCAGCTCCTCCAGCTCCTGCAGCCATGTGAAAACGACCCCTCACAAAGAGCTGCTGCCCATCCTTCCATCCAGCCCTGCGCCACGTTCTGAAGGAAGATCCACAGCAGCAAAGCGATAAAACCTACACTGAAATAGCAGAAGGGGACTGGAAAGGTGAAGCAGACAGTAATGCTGCCCCTGCATTGCACAAGAAAGCAAACGCCCCATTTTATCCTGCCAATATGACCTGGCAACTGTTTGAAACTCGACCGTATGAGCAGAACACAGCAGAGCGGGACCCAAGAATTTCTTTCAGGCCATTAAGCGTGCTGGTTAATAGTCCTCATTAGCCTGCTCTGCAGTCCCTGTTGCTTTAGCAGTACCCAAGCAGAGATATCAGGCAGTAAGAGGAACATCCCAACTCCTGAGCCCTTCATGTTTGACAAACTGAACATAAATAAGTGCAAACAAACTACAAGAAGGACCAATCCAGGTACATGCACACAGGCTTGATGCCACCTGAGGCGCCCACAGGCACTTTTCCTGCCTTCCAGCCTCTGGCTGAGAAAGGCTGAGTCTCTCATAGGGCTTTGTGCCACAGCTCCATACTTCACATACCCAGGGCGGCTGCATAAGTCAATAAAATGGACTGCGTATGCAGTGAGAGCCAGCCATGCACTGAACTTCAGCGCACTGCTTACTCTGATACTCGTTCGGTTTTGAGGGGTCTGGAACACAGGGCTGATGAGGAGAGGCTGAAGGAGCTGGGAATGTTCAGCCTGGAGAAGAGGAGGCTCAGGGGGGACCTCACTGCTCTCTATGGCTGCTGAAGGGAGGCTGCAGGGAGCTGGGGGGCGGCCTCTGCTCTCGTGCCATCAGTGATGGGAGCAGAGGGAACGGCTTCAAGCTGCGGCAGGGGAGATTCAGGCTGGACATGAGGAAGAATGAGGTGTCAGAAAGGTGGGCAGCACTGCAATGGATGCCCAGGGAGGTGGGGGAGGCGCCGAGCCTGGGGGTGTTGAAGGCAAGGCTGGGTGCTGTGCTGAGGGCCGTGGTTCAGTGGGAGCTGTTGGTGATGGGGGAGCGGTTGGACTGGGGGAGCTTGGAGGTCTTTTCCAACCTTGGTGATTCTATGAGACGCAGACTCCTTTATCTATGAAGTGGATTCTTAATTAGTACACATATAAGCCGCATGTCCTGATGCGTCAGTTTTCCAAATGACCCAAGGTGTTCCGTGTGGGCGCCTTCCATTTCTGTTGGCTTTCCCAAAGATTAAGTATCCAACAGCTTTATTATCAGTGCTCTTCTTTTACTGATCAAAACGTTAAATAGGGAGGACACATCGCTGACGTTCTGGGATCTGTTCAACACAAACCTACCCGACGCTCTCTACAAACTTCTTAATAATTTAAAGCGTGTGTTTCCATTCTGCAATGCCTGCTGCACAGCAGTACCACAGCTTCCTTTTAGCAAAGAGCACACCAAGGGGAATACTACAGCATCTCACACAGTACTGCAGGCCACTGGTTAGCACCATTGCCATCCACCAGATATCTGCCCTGAATGCTGCAGCATTTCCCTAGCATTCTATCTGTGGCAGTCCAAGGAAGATGGAAAGCCTTACGTGCAGCTCTCCAGCTGTGCCATGAGGAAAAGCCAGTGCTTCAGACACGGCCTCAATTCCAGCAGCGCATCACTTCCACTCCAATCTGCAGGGGGAGAAGCAGCAGGCAGCACACAGCCCCACTCTCTGCAGTGCTGACCGCTGGAGGCCGTGCAGCAGTGGGCAGAGTACAGAAGGGCAGATACAGAAGGCAAAAAAGAGCACAGCAGCCCGTCCTCCTGCACAGCCCAGCACTCATGGGCACCTCCCAGGCACTACATGCATTAAATGGGTGTTGTGTGAAAAATACCCCATCTTCTCAGGAATCTGCTTCAGCCATCTCCACCTTTCCTCTGTGACACTGAACCTCACTGCAAAGTCAAATTAATCTTCACCTTCCCATTTTAATTGTCTCAATGCCTTCATTAGCAGAGTAGGACGATGACCCAGTGCCACATCTCTGTTCCGGTGCAGCGTGCATCACTTCTGAGCTCTGTCCATGCTAAATCCAACACGTTCTCTGTTGTTCGTTGTCTCTAGACAACGTTTGTGTCTTTTTGTGATGAATTCCTTGGACTTCCTCTCAAAATGCCATTTGTCTCTGCATCTCTGTACCAGAACAAGGAGCAGTGCCCTAACAGGCCTTTATCCGATGCTGCACATCACAGCAAAATGGCCCAGCATTCCATTCCAACCCCCATTCTGCATTTTGGCACATTGTTCTCCACCTTAACTTACATTCCATCAGCCTGCGATGCCGCATTTACCGATATTTACCATTTCCTACAGCTTTATGCTACCACTGCAATTTACCAGGACTGCTTAATGACTGCCTGAACATTTCAGCATCCTCCTGAGTGCGCCAGCCACAGACCCCACTGCTGGGATGCCTGCTATCAATAAGCATTAATGCCTTCTCTTTAATGATGGACAGCAGCCCAACAGAAAACCTATGAACACAGGATTTCTGATCATACTTCAGAAAGCAGCAATTTACATTACTTGGGAAAGTCTGGCCTTACAATAAATGCACTCACACTATCACCAGCCAAAACTGTTTATAATCCCAAAGGACATGTAATTGTATGAATAACCCTGCATCAGAAGCACGTGCCTTCATTTACATTATTCTGGCTTTCTGGCCAAGCTGGTGAGGTTTTGTTCTGGAGTTATCTGCATTTCTCTCTGGATTTAATAATTCCAGTATTTATTATCACTTATATGGGAACAGGTTGCCCAAGGAGGCTGTGGATGCCCCATCCCTGCAGGCATTGGAGGCCAGGCTGGATGTGGCTCTGGGCAGCCTGGGCTGCTGGTTGGCGACCTGCACACAGCAGGGGTTGCAACCAGGTGAGCACTGTGCTCCTGTGCAACCCAGGCCATGCTGGGATTCTATGATGATTCTATTGATTATGACTCCTTATGGATCCTTATGGCACCCTGTGGATCCCTGTGGCACCCTGTGGATCCCTGTGGCACCCTGTGGATCTCTAT